TGGACACGTTCAAGTGAACTTATATCCATTCTATAATATGGCGACCAAAAACTGAACTGCATATTCTAAATGGGGCCTAACTAGAGCAAGATATAGCTTGAGAACCACACCAGGTGTCTTAAGAACATAAGAACATAAGAACAAAGGTAACTGCAGAAGGCCTATTGGCCCATACGAGGCAGCTCCTATTCTATAACCACCCAATCCCACTCATATACTTGTCCAATCCGTGCTTGAAACAATCGAGGGACCCCACCTCCACAATGTTACGCGGCAATTGGTTCCACAAATCAACAACCCTGTTACTGAACCAGTATTTACCCAAGTCTTTCCTAAATCTAAACTTATCCAATTTATATCCATTGTTTCGTGTTCTGTCCTGTGTTGATACTTTTAATACCCTATTAATATCCCCCGGTTATGTCCATTCATCCACTTGTAAACCTCTATCATGTCACCCCTAACTCTTCGCCTTTCCAGTGAATGCAACTTAAGCTTTGTTAATCTTTCTTCATATGAAAGATTTCTAATTTGGGGAATTAACTTAGTCATCCTACGCTGGACACATTCAAGTGAATTTATATCCATTCTATAATATGGCGACCAAAACTGAACTGCATAATCTAAATGGGGCCTAACTAGAGCAAGATATAGCTTGAGAACCACACCAGGTGTCTTGTTACTAACGCTGCGATTAATTAATCCAAGTGTCCGATTTGCCTTATTACGAACATTTATGCATTGATTCTTTTGTTTTAAATTCTTACTAATCATAACTCCCAGATCCCTTTCGCAATCCGACTTCGCAATCACAACACCATCTAGCTCGTATCTTGTAACTCTATCATCATTACCTAACCTCAGAACTTTACATTTATCAGCATTAAACTGCATCTGCCAATCCTTTGACCATTTCAAAACCCTATCTAGATCAACTTGAAGTGATAGTGAGTCCTCCTCCGAATTAATTTCCCTACCGATTTTCGTATCATCGGCAAATTTGCAAATGTTGCTACTCAAACCTGAATCTAAATCATTTATATATATTATAAACAACAGAGGTCCCAGGACAGAGCCTTGAGGCACTCCACTTACAACATTTTCCCACTCTGACTTGATTCCATTTATACTAACTCTCTGTTTCCTTTGGTATAGCCATGCCCTAATCCAGCTTAATATAGCACCCCCAATACCATGAGACTCTATTTTTTTAATCAGTCTTTCATGTGGCACTGTATCAAAAGCTTTGCTAAAGTCAAGGTATACAACATCGCAATCCTTACCACTATCAACTGCCTCAACAATGCTAGAATAAAAAGATAACAAATTTGTTAAACATGAACGGCCATTTATAAAACCATGTTGCGACTCAATTATTAATTTATGTTTTTCAAGATGAAGACGAATTTTATTTGCTATTATAGATTCGAGTAACTTTCCCACAATAGACGTTAGGCTAATTGGTCGATAGTTAGACGCAAGTGATCTATCTCCTTTCTTAAAAACTGGTATCACATTAGCAACTTTCCAAAACTCTGGCACTCTGCCTGACTCTATTGATTTATTAAATATGGTTGACAGTGGGTCACAAAGCTCCTCTTTGCATTCTTTAAGCACCCTAGCAAACACTTCATCCGGCCCTGGGGATTTGTTTGGTTTGAGTTTTACTATTTGTTTAAGAACATCCTCCCTGGTAACTGCTTTAATAAATTTTTAATAAATATTTTGTATCTGTATTTACTAAAGAGGAACTTAACAATATGCCTTCAGCCGAAAAAGTCTATGTGGGTGGGGACGAGGACAGGTTGACGAGTTTAGCAGTTACCAGGGAGGATGTTCTTAAACAAATAGTAAAACTCAAACCAAACAAATCCCCAGGGCCGGATGAAGTGTTTGCTAGGGTGCTTAAAGAATGCAAAGAGGAGCTTTGTGACCCACTGTCAACCATATTTAATAAATCAATAGAGTCAGGCAGAGTGCCAGAGTTTTGGAAAGTTGCTAATGTGATACCAGTTTTTAAGAAAGGAGATAGATCACTTGCGTCTAACTATCGACCAATTAGCCTAACGTCTATTGTGGGAAAGTTACTCGAATCTATAATAGCAAATAAAATTCGTCTTCATCTTGAAAAACATAAATTAATAATTGAGTCGCAACATGGTTTTATAAATGGCCGTTCATGTTTAACAAATTTGTTATCTTTTTATTCTAGCATTGTTGAGGCAGTTGATAGTGGTAAGGATTGCGATGTTGTATACCTTGACTTTAGCAAAGCTTTTGATACAGTGCCACATGAAAGACTGATTAAAAAAATAGAGTCTCATGGTATTGGGGGTGCTATATTAAGCTGGATTAGGGCATGGCTATACCAAAGGAAACAGAGAGTTAGTATAAATGGAATCAAGTCAGAGTGGGAAAATGTTGTAAGTGGAGTGCCTCAAGGCTCTGTCCTGGGACCTCTGTTGTTTATAATATATATAAATGATTTAGATTCAGGTTTGAGTAGCAACATTTGCAAATTTGCCGATGATACGAAAATCGGTAGGGAAATTAATTCGGAGGAGGACTCACTATCACTTCAAGTTGATCTAGATAGGGTTTTGAAATGGTCAAAGGATTGGCAGATGCAGTTTAATGCTGATAAATGTAAAGTTCTGAGGTTAGGTAATGATGATAGAGTTACAAGATACGAGCTAGATGGTGTTGTGATTGCGAAGTCGGATTGCGAAAGGGATCTGGGAGTTATGATTAGTAAGAATTTAAAACAAAAGGATCAATGCATAAATGTTCGTAATAAGGCAAATCGGACACTTGGATTTATTAATCGCAGCGTTAGTAACAAGACACCTGGTGTGGTTCTCAAGCTATATCTTGCTCTAGTTAGGCCCCATTTAGATTATGCAGTTCAGTTTTGGTCGCCATATTATAGAATGGATATAAATTCACTTGAACGTGTCCAGCGTAGGATGACTAAGTTAATTCCCCAAATTAGAAATCTTTCATATGAAGAAAGATTAACAAAGCTTAAGTTGCATTCACTGGAAAGGCGAAGAATTAGGGGTGACATGATAGAGGTTTACAAGTGGATGAATGGACATAACCGGGGGGATATTAATAGGGTATTAAAAGTATCAACACAGGACAGAACACGAAACAATGGATATAAATTGGATAAGTTTAGATTTAGGAAAGACTTGGGTAAATACTGGTTCAGTAACAGGGTTGTTGATTTGTGGAACCAATTGCCGCGTAACATTGTGGAGGTGGGGTCCCTCGATTGTTTCAAGCACGGGTTGGACAAGTATATGAGTGGGATTGGGTGGTTATAGAATAGGAGCTGCCTCGTATGGGCCAATAGGCCTTCTGCAGTTACCTTTGTTCTTATGTTCTTATGTCTATAACATGATATAAGATAACAACAATGATTATAATGGTAAAGTTGTATGGCATAGGTACATATATTGGGGAATTTGGGTAGCACTAGATACAATGCGAGTTTCAAGCACTAGGTAGGAAACTATGAAGATATTCCCTACGATCAATTAGAAAACGGTTAACTTGATAATACTGATAATACTGATAACACTTGATAATACTGTATTACTAATTTGTTTACAAGAAAGTGCAATAAGTGTGAGATTACATACTATTGGCAGTTTTACATTCTTACAAAGCCATTAACACGCATAGCATTTCGGGCAGAACATGCCCGAAAGTGCATCGTTAGTGCTTTTTGGGGGTCTGAAGCCATATTGACAAGAGTTAAGTATATTCTAGACAAATCCACAAGGGCCGTACGAGGATTCGAACCTGCGTCCGGGAGCATCCCAGACGCAGGTAGTATACTTTCATTTGATGCATCACGTTAGTGTGAACTCTGTGTGTGTTAAGTATATTCTGTTTTGCTACAATACAATACAATACAATACAATTTTATTTAGGTAAGGTACATACATACAATAAATATTTACAAGGATTGTTTGACTTATAGGTAGAGCTAGTACATACAATGCCTAAAGCCACTATTACGCAAAGCGTTTCGGGTATGATAAGACTAAAGCTGCTTGTAGATAAGTTTTCAAATATTTTAGACAAGTTTGGCAGAATTGATTTAGGTCTGAAGATGTTAACATCAGTGGAATCATCACATTTGTGGACAGGGGTTACTCTCGCGTTTTTTAGAATATCTGGAAAGGTTTGGAGTTCAAGTGACTTGTTGAAGAGCAATGCAACATCCTCATAGTTTCCCATCTTGTGCTTCAAACACTCACTGTACCTGATGCTACGCACTCACCCAAATCAGATTCTGCTACACTGTACCTGTTAATACGTTTACTTTATACAAGAGAGTTCTTATAATCTTGTAAAGCCACTTTACTTAGCAGTAAGTAGGTACTCAGGAGTTAGTCAGTTTGCTGTACTCACCTAGTTGTGCTTGCGGGGGTTGAGCTCTGGCTCTCTGGTCCCGCCTCTCAACTGTCAGTCAACTGGTGTACAGGTTCCTGAGCCTACTGGGCTCTATCATATCTACACTTGAAACTGTGTATGGAGTCAGCCTCCACCACATCACTGTAGGGTTACACCCTGGACGGGGGTCAGTAATTCGACCTTGTGAGAGGGGGAAGGAATCTTAATACAAGTCTAAAGAACTATATAAATACACACTATCACACACAGAGATCACACTAACGTGATGCATCAAATGAACAAATCCACAAGGGCCGTGACGAGGATTCGAACCTGCATCCGAGAGCAGTGTCTGGGATGCTCCCGGACGCAGGTTCGAATCCTCGTCACGGCCCTTGTGGATGTGTTCATTTAAATACACACTACACAGGCTTTGTGTCCCCGACAAAATTGAAGTATTTAAAACACACAGACGTTTTCCAAAACTAGACAAGTTAGTCATAAATTATATATAGAAAACTTGTGCATCAGCTTAAGAGAAAACGGAAGACCACGTGCGTCTCAGGGTCCGGGAGTGGGACGTCTTGGTTAATATTTATCTTGGTGTTGATGAGGCTTGTGTTTACCCTTGAGGCTGCCAGTGTTGGCCCTGACACCACCGGTGGAGGAGTACGTGTGGCACTCTCATATATCCTGTACTACAGCCCAGTACACTGACAAGTATACGCTAAAATGTACTCCATTAGAAGTTATTTAAGGTCACCTGTACAGGTGTCTTTACGGTCTTTGTATACGGTAAGAATTTTAGTCCATCTTATATATTACATTCTTGTAAAGTCACTTATCAAGCATGGCGTTTTTGGGCAGTAATTAGGATTAAATTATTAATTATTTCATTTTTTGGGGACAGACAGCTTGTGTGTATACATGTTAGGCATGTTACAGTCTCCGTGGTGCAGTGGTAAGACACTCGCCTGGCGTTCCGCGAGCGCTATGTCATGGGTTCGTATCCTGGCCGGGGAGGATTTACTGGGCGCAAATCCTTAACTGTAGCCTCTGTTTAACGCAACAGTAAAATGTGTACTTGGTTGTAACAAGGATTCTTCGCGGCGGGGATCGTATTCCAGGGACTTGCCCGAAACGCTACGCGTACTAGTGGCTCTACAACCATGTAACAACTCTTGTATATATCTCTCTCAAAAAAAAAAAAAAATATATAGTCCTAGGTCCCCCCCAACCCTCTGCAATACCTTGACCTTACCTTGAGGTAAGGTCAAGGTATTGCATAGTTGAATTACTGACCCAAGGATGCAACGACCCCACACAACAAGCCGATTAACTCCTATTTAAATACTGTTTACTGCTAGATGAACGAAGGGAAGTATTAGGCGAAGGGAAATGTACCAAACCATTTCTGTCCCGGCTGGGATTCGAACCCAGGATTCTCGTCTGTGACTCGAGAGCGAACCCGGTTGTACCGTTTTTTTAAATAATTTGACGAGTTAAAGAAAAAACCGTGTACTTTGTACTTGATTAATTGTACAATGTTTTATGTCATAAAGTATCAAGCTATAAATGGCATTTATTAGACTTCATAATTTATTACTTATTTATTTATATATATACAAGAGGGTACATTGGGATTGTGATGATACATAGCATAGTACATAATTACATTCTTGTAAAGTTACCAGTACGCACAGCGTTTATTATAATAAAACTTATTTAGTACTCTATAAACATGTATGGTAAGGTATATGTGAAAGAGTGAATGGATTAACAAGTGGCTTTATGTAATGTACTTATGTATTACCTGATTCACCTCAATGAGGACAAGAAGCTGGTGGCTTGTCAAAGGATACCCCATTTGTCCTGATAATTTTTTCAAGCTGGATTTTCAAGTTATCTTGAGGTCATCTTGGATGATTTCGGGGCTTTGGTGTCCCCGCGGCCCGGTCCTCGACCAGGCCTCCACCCCCAGGAAGCAGCCCGTGACAGCTGACTAACACCCAGGTACCTTTTTTTTACTGCTAGGTAACAGGGGCATAGGGTGAAAGAAACTCTGCCCATTGTTTCTCGCCGGCGCCTGGAATCGAACCCAGGACCACAGGATCACAAGTCCAGTGTGCTGTCCCGCTCGGCAGACCGGCTCCCTTAAAGTTCAGCAAAGTTATGGCAATTACAGCTTCGGTGGGTTGGCAGTTCCAAGGACTTGTACCCTGTGGGTGAAAAAGCATCTCTTGTTCTCAGTCCTACATTGTGGCTTGTTGAGCTTGAAACTGTTGTTCCTTGTTTGTTACATCTGACCTTTTGAAGAAATTGTCCAAATCAATATCCTCAAAATTGTTTAGTATTTTTAGTTTCAATGAGAATCAGCCTTGTCATGTCTGGTTTGTAGTGTTGCTACTCCCTGTGGCCCTCAACCGTTCCTGATACCAGAGTTAACTTGGTTCTGGAATGATTTTTGTTGTTTGGTGTTGTACTTTCTCCAAAGCAGCTGTTTCTCTTTGAAGATGGGGTCTCCATGTCTTGCTTCAATAATCCAAGTGAGGGCATACCAGAGATTTATAAAGTTGAATAACTACTCTCTGTTCTAAAAAGTCAAAGGCTGTTGTTGTTTTAGATTCGGCTACTGTACTGGGAACAAAAAGTTCCAAGTAACATGGGCTATGGTGAGCCCATAGTGGACTTGCCTGACACAGGAGCGGGGCCAGTAGCCCGTGCTATGGTGAGCCTGTAGTGGACTTGCCTGGCACAGGAGCGGGGCAAGTAGCACGGGCTATGGCGAGCCCGTAGTGGACTTGCCTGACACAGGAGAGGGCCATATGTTCTGTGTATGCTGGATTATGCCTAGGGTTTGGTTAGCTCATTTTACCGCTGCTCCTACTTGTTGTGCAAGTTTCAAAGAATGGTAGATATTGACTACCAGATCCTTTTCATCAATCTGCTGTAGGGTAATGTTATTAATTTGGTAGGTGTGATGAGGGTTCTTATGCCCCACATGCATGGTCTTGCATTTTTTCATATTAAAAAGTATTTGCGAGTCTTCTGACGATTTGTGGAGTTCATGTAGATCTCTTTGTATGTCTTCATTATTATTTTCACTTCCTACTTTACCATAAATCTTAAGTGTCATCTGCAAAATTGATGTGGTTTGTAATATTCTCATCTGTTATAGATACTGTATGGGATAAAAAAGGATTAACTACAAAATGGACCCCTATGATACTTGCCACATTTCTCCAGTCAGATTTATTCCTATTTAGCACAACATCTTTATTTTAACTATTGGTTTATCAGTTTTAATATTCATCCAAATATTCTTGTGCCTGTAATTTCTTTGACAGTCTTTCATGTGGTACCTTATCAAAGGCTTCAGCAAAATCAATGTATACTATATCTACCAGAAATCTATTGGTGCTACATAGCCTTCCCGGTTTGGTGCCTTCTATTGATAATTACTTATCAGAAGTCTATTGTCTGAGTAGCTGGTTACCATTTCCAGAAATATGAGCAGGTTTGTGAGACAGGATCTAATTTTAAGAAGCCCAAGATGCATTGATTTTTCAAGATTGTTCGCTGAGAGATGGTGAATGATTTCCCCTCCATTAGGATTCTTTCCATGCGCTTGCAGATGTGTGATGTTAAGCTGATCAGATGGAAGTTGTCTGCTAAGCTCGTTCTGCCTTCTAACTTCCTCTATTCATGCATCATATGTGTGTACACTTGTATAAATAAAATATTTATTACTACTGTATTGTCATTATTAATACTGTATTATGGTTCCTGAAGCACAGGGGTCTGCGTCAGCGATTCACAACAGAGTATCCCAGATTTGATCTCCAGGGCAGGACAGGCTATACGGGGTATGTTTCCTTTCACCTGATGCCTCTTCTCCTATCAGTGCAGTAGGTATTCGGAAGGTAAGCAACTGTTGTGGGTTGCATCCTTGAGAAGATCGGCAGCAGTTGGTCTAGGGGACCCTTTATAAATAAAATAAATAAATAAATGTTTATTCAGGTAAAGTACATACATACAAGAGGTTATACAAAAATTGATAGATTTATAGATAGAGCTAGTACATACAATGCCTAAAGCCACTATTACGCAAAGCGTTTTGGGCAGTAACCCGAACTTTAACTTTAAGCCTTGCAGGCTTGTTTCCCCAACTGGAAAATTATTAACATAAAACCGTAAAATTTAAAGGAAGTTTTTTTATTAACAAGCTTAACTTAGGTACATGCTGCTACTGTATTCCATATATGGGAATACAGAGTATAAAACCATAATTATAAGTTCATTTAATGTCCTCATCTCACAGGATGGTTAGTCATACATAGTAGTAAATGAAAACATGATGCAAGTCAATAGTCTACTATCCTGCACTATCCCCCCTGGGCTAAGGAGCAAAGCTCTGCCCCTTTGAGGTGCTGAGGGGTTGCGTAAGTAAGGACTCTTCCCATCTCAGATCAAGACAGGGGGGAGGGGGGGCATTGATTATACTGCATGTGGTTGGTATTTGAGTGTGTGACATGTATGCCAGGATGATGTGCACAAGATCAGGGTTATCTTGAGTCAATAGCTAAAATCTGTTAAATGGTGGAATATGCCAGAAAGAAATCATGATTAGCAAATTGATACCGTTATGTTTTTAACTCTCTACATAATGATTACAAAAATGACTACTCTTACGTGCTACACTTGCCCTCCTGTGGGGTTTTACAGAGTGTGGCTACTTACACCTCAGCACCGCCACAAGACCCACCAGGGCAGAAGGACCAGCAACAGGAAGAGCCAGTAGAGGAGTGGAAGCAGAAGGGACGGATCAACGACAAAAAGCCCATTAAAGTTAACCTGGTGGGAGGGAAGAGGTACCTCTGGTGCGCTTGTGGATACAGCAAGAACCAGGTGGGATTTGTGATTTAAATTGTTAGATGTTATAAAAGGAGTTTTGATTATAGATATCTAGAAATATAAAAACTTGTCATATAGGCAATTTTAGTGAAACTAAATGAGAATAATGTCTGGAAAAGATTTTTTTAGTTTCCAAGATGGCTTTCTTTTAATACATTGTTGTAACAATGAACACATTCCATAATATGGCTTTTATTCACATTGAATTCCATTTGCCACATGTTACTCCAAGCACTTATTTTTATCTAGAGCAATTTGAAGGGCATGACAATCGTCTAGGTCTCCTATCTTCCCTAGAATTGTCTTGAGTATTGTTATCAGGATCATAATATAACCTTATTATGCCATTCTTCAGCCCTTTTGTGATGGGACTCACCTCTGGAGCAGATTCCGGCTGAAGATTAAACAGTCGCCGAAGCTCTTCAAGGCACCGAAGGACGGACCTGCCTCTCTCTGTTTGTGTAAACAGACCAATAATCCTCCCTATTGTGACGGCATTCACCGCAGGAAGGAAATACAAGACGCAGTCATAACTGAACCTTGAGGTCTCTCCCATGCTTGAATAGGTGCTTTGCTTAGGTGTATATTGTCAGGAAAATTAGCAGGAAGGTTAAAACGTGTGCCATAGTTAGGCTACGGGTATATTCGGGGAATAACATGGTTAATCTGGAATATCCAATTCTAGACTAAAGTGAATTTAAGAGTTATTGTTAATCTATTTAAATTTTTACATTAACAAAATAAATGCATTTCTACTGTACAGTATACATGTTACTTAACCCTAGGCATAATGTAAATTGTACAACTATACATGTATACTGTAATTGTATATACTTCACTGTATTTGCATTAAATTGTAAATAATTAATACAGTACAGTATAATAAATTTATGCATTCTAAATACAGTAGTGCAGTGAGATGATGTATCACATTCTGTTGTAATACAGAACTGGTCTTAGTCTTTACCTGTGGTGCAGTAGAATGGACATAGCCAACATAAAACCAAATAAAACTGCAATATTTGTGGTGCCTTTTATTTTACTAATTGGAGGTGGTGTCACTGCCAGATATAACTCCCATAAGTTATAAGTTAAGACCATCCTGTGTCTGGGATGCTCCCGGATGCAGGTTCGAATCCTCGTCACGGCCCTTGTGGATTTGTTCATAACTCCCGTAAGTTATTCCAAGCAAACATGTATGAGTGGGATTGGGTGGTTATAAATAGAAGCTGCCTCATATGGGCCAATAGGCCTTTCTGAAGCTACCTTTGTTCTCTTTAACTTATAATACAGTTATAACTTGAGAATATTCTCTGTTAAGGACAAAGGAGACTATTATTGGAGCTGTAATATGCTTAAAGATGGTTACAACTATCAAGATAACTATCCAGTTGGTATGAGAATGGGTTTGGTGTCTCATGGGGATTGTTATTTATTAGTAAATAAATCTCATGGCATTTATTTATTAGTAAATAAAATTTAAGATAAGGCAACAAAAATAACTGGGGAAAATGTAAGAAATTACTTGCATGATATTGAATATATAACATTAATTACATATTAAGTAAATATTTCTTAGTCTCGCTTTCAAACTTACATATTAAGTAAATATTTCTTAGTCTCGCTTTCAAACTGGTTGGGAGACTACAGCTTTTAACTACATTTGGGACGTCATTCCACAATTTGGGACCCTTGACTTACATAGCATGTCTGCTCTGGTTGAGTTTCACTCTAGGAATATCTTGAGATTTTTGTTTCATGAGTTCTATTACAGTCTTCTAGGAAGCGCTTAAGGTCAGGATTGGCATAGCAGTAGAGTTTCATAGATTTAGAGAATGATTGAGTGTGCAGAGACGATATTTGAATTAACAAGTTAAAAAAATTCAGTAAGAAAGCAGAATGGTGTCTGACACTGGAATTTGTTATTGTTCTAATTGTTGATTTTTGTAGAGTAATTAGGGGTCAGAGGTAATTAAGGGAGGTGGTTCCCCAGGCACAGATACCTATAGTATGTGCCATAAGGAACTAAGTGAGATATGTATAAATAAGTAAATAAAACAGTAACTAGGGCAGGGCAAGGAACACAATATCTGACTGGAGAGCAAGCCTTCTGTTTTAGCTTTTTTTTAGTTATACATTGTAATGTATATGACAATGGAAATTTGGTTTGTTGTCGGTGTGAACACCAAGGAGCTTCCCTTATTCTTTTTCATAATTTGGGTATTATATATATTGAACAAAAACACCTGGAGTTATTTTTCAGCTATATTTTGCTCTTGTTATATACCACTTAGATTATGCAATTCAGTTCAGGTCCCCATGTAATAGAATGGACATATATTCACTAAAACGTATCTAGGGTAGGATGGCAAATTGATCCCACAACTTAGACACCTTCCATAGATACAGAAACCTTCAATTCCTATTAGTAGTAGTAGTAGGCATCCATCAGTCTCGGGAGACTATGGAGTTGCACTCTGGTGTCGGCCTGGTCTGGAGTGGTCTCACCAGGGCGCAATACCTGGGTAGGTTGATTTGGGGGAGAAGCTGTTACCCAGGCAGCAGGTCCCCCCCCCCCCCACCTCTCCACGGCTAATAATTCCTATTATTGCTCCCTTTATTACACCGTCCGTATCTGTTGGGCCTTGCTTTTTTCTTCCTCTCCATTTACGTGCTATTCATGCCCGTGCCACCTCTTGGGTGGCTTAATCTTTATCAAACGATTGATTGATGAAGATTAAGCCACCCAAAAGGTGGCACGGGCATGAATAGCCCGTAAGTGGTGGCCCTTTTGAGCCATCTGTGGAGGTGTAACTGCACCCTGCGTGACGGGAGATGTCTCCCGTGAATGTGTCTTTATCAAACTGATTTGATTGATAAAGATTAAGCCACCCAAGAGGTGGCACGGGCATGAATAGCCCGTAAGTGGTAAATTTATCAAACATCCTCTCATTGCAGTTATAGGCTATTCATGCCTATGCCACCTCTTGGGTGTCTTAATCTTTATCAATCTTAATCTTCATCAATCAATTCCTCTCATCACAATCAACTTGATAATGGTCCAGGAAGGACCAAAATGTCATCTTCTCTTCACTTTCTAGTGTGTGGTTTGGTCAACAGTAACCTACAATATGAAGAGATTAAAAGAGCTTAATTTACAGGTAACATTGAATTGTACAGGTGGGTGAATAGGCATAACAAAAGGGATATTAATAAGGTACTAAATATATCAATGCATAATAAAACATGAAACAATGGATATATACATAAGAATCAAGATAACTGCAGAAGGCCTATATGAAGCAGCAGCTATTTATACCCACACAAACTCATTCATATTTATGTCTAACGTACGCTTGAAACAATCGAGGGATCCTATTTCTATTATAGTACGCGGTAATTGGTTCCACAAATCAACCCTGTTGCCGAACCAGTATTTACCCAAGTCTTTCCAAAATCTAAACTAATGCAAATTATACCCATACATGCATAGGATGAGTCACAATAATGTGACCAACCATTATTAAACATACATATATTAATTTGGGTGGATAAAGGAGCTGCTTCATATGGGGAAATGGGCCTTCGACAGTTTCCTTGATTCTTATGTTCTCATGTAGTAATCACTTTACTCTAAAGGATGGGCTCAACTACTGTATATTACCACGTAACATAATAGAAGTTGATTGTTTCAAGCATAGGTTAGACATATATACTCACCTAGTTATGCTTGCAGGGGTTGAGCTCTGCCTCTCAAATGTCAATCAATTAACTGATTCCCCCCTCCCAGGAAGCAGGCCATAACAGCTGTCTAACTCCCAGGTACCTATTTACTGCTAGGTGAACAGGGCATCAGGATGAAAGAAACTCTGGCCATTTCTTTCCGCCACCGCCGGGGATCGATCCTAGGACTACGAATCCTGAGCACTGTCCACTCAGCCGTCAGGCCCCAAATATGAATGAGTTTAGGTGGATATAAATAGGAGCTGCCTCATGTGCCCCAAGTGGCCTTCTGAAGTTACCTTCATTCTGATGATGAAGATTAAGCCACCCAAAAGGTGGCACGGGCATGAATAGCCCGTAAGTGGTGGCCCTTTTGAGCCATTACCAGTATCAAGAGCTGATACTGGAGATCTGTGGAGGTGCGACTGCACCCTGCGTGACGGGAGATGTCTCCCCCGTAACCTTCATTCTTATGTTCTTAACTATATATATGCTCAAGTGATCCACTAGATGGGATCACCATAGCCCGTGCTACATGGACACTTCGTTTTGAGTAGCTAAATCTAAAACAACAACAACATGATCCACTAGACAGCATGACATTGTAATTACCAGAATTAGGCTGAGATACAGATATTAATGGCTGGTAATGACAGCCTTAGAGGCAAGCATTCTAATTGTAAAGGGTGGTTATCTTGAGATGATTTCGGGGCTTTAGTGTCCCCGCGGCCCGGTCCTCGACCAGGCCTCCACCCCCAGGAAGCAGCCCGTGACAGCTGACTAACTCCCAGGTACCTATTTACTGCTAGGTAACAGGGGCATTCAGGGTGAAACAAACTTTGCCCATTTGTTTCTGCCTCGTGCGGGAATCGAACCAGCGCCACAGAATTGCGAGTCCTGCGCGCTATCCACCAGGCTACGAGGCCCCTCACCCCCTACGAGGGTGTGAACCATAGCTAGGACATATTCTCCAAAACAATGTCTTTAATTGCCCTGTTATTAGTGATTTCAGACCAAATGATATGAGATACGTTGAGTGCTGTCAACTACATCATACACTCACCAATATTGGAAGATATTTTTTTTGAGATATATACAAGAGTTGTTACATGGTTGTAGAGCCACTAGTACGCGTAGCGTTTCGGGCAAGTCCTTAATCCTATGGTCCCTGGAATACGATCCCTGCCGCGAAGAATCGTTGTTACAACCAAGTACACATTTTACTGTTGCGTTAAACAGAGGCTACAGTTAAGGATTTGTGCCCAGTAAATCCTCCCCGGCCAGGATACGAACCCATGACATAGCGCTCGCGGAACGCCAGGCGAGTGTCTTACCACTACACCACGGAGACTGCATATTCTTGTATTCACCTAGTTGTGCTTGCGGGGGTTGAGCTGGCTCTCTCGGCCCGCCTCTCAACTGTCAATCAATAAACAGATTCTTGTTTTATTTTATTTTGTTCTCACACACACACACACACAAAGGTGGTGGAGGCCAAGACCGTCAGTAGTTTCAAAGCGTTATATGACAAAGAGTGCTGTGAAGACGGGACACCACGAGCGTAGCTCTCATCCTGTAACTACACTTAGGTAATTACACTTAGGTAATTACATGATGAGGGGAGACATGATCACAACATTCAAGATTCTCAAGGGAATTGATAGGGTAGATAAAGACAGGTTGTTTAACACAAGGGGACACAGGTGGAAACTGAGTGCCCAAATAAGCCACAGAGATATTAGAAAGAACTTTTTCAGTGTGAGAGTAGTTGACAAATGGAATGCATTAGGCAGTGATGTGGTGGAGGCTGACTCCATACACAGTTTCAAGTGTAGATATGATAGAGCCCAATAGGCTCAGGAACCTGTACACCAGTTGATTGACTGTTGAGAGGCGGGACCGAAGAGCCAAAGCTCAACCCCCGCAAGCACAACTAGGTGAGTACACACGTAAGAAGCAGCCCGTAGCAGCTAACTCCTATGTACTCCCAGGTACCTATTTACAGCTAGGTTAACAGGAGAATCAGGGTGAAAGAAACTCTGACCATTTGTTTCCGCCATGGCCAGGGATCGAACCCCGGACCTTAGGATTACGAGCCCAGAGTGCAGTCTGCTCAGCCACAGGCCCCTGTCTAAGCATGTGCTCTACCTCCCGGATTTGATCACGTGAGATAGGGGGCTGGGGATTGAACCCCGGACCTTAGGATAATGAGTCCAGAGCGCAGTCCGCTCAGCCACACGCCCCTGTCTAAGCATGTGCTGTACCTCCCGGATTTGATCACGTGAGATAGGGATATTAGATGGACTTAAAGCTAGTTTTTGAACTACACTCTGTAATCTTTCATGTAGATTAGCGTAGCAACACATTAAGCTGTGTATACCTAAGTTTTTTGATAGAAACAAAAATTATTTAAATTTTTCTATGGTTCAGTTAGCTTTTTCTTGTTTTACGGCAGTTTATGATTTTCAGTTTTACCCAAAAATATGAAAATATAACTTAAGCAAATTCACATAATTTAAAAGACGATAAATAATATTAGAAAAAAAGTTTTACTAGAAAAAATATTAGAAATTAATATTAGTATACGAGAAAATATATAATATATATATATTAGAAATATATAATACATATATTAGAAATATATAATATTAAAAAAAACGAGTTTTATATAGAGGAAGGCTGAAGTTTGCTGTATAGTATATGAGAAAATATATAATACATATATTAGAAATATATAATACATATATTAGAAATATATAATACATATATTAGAAATATATAATACATATATTAGAAATATATAATATTAAAAAAACGAGTTTTATATAGAGGAAGGCTGAAGTTTGGTGTATAGAGAGGACCCCTCACATAAACACAGGCGGCCGTGGGCGACCACTGGTGTAGGTGAGCGACTTGCGGCTACATTTTTAACCCATTCTTTAAAGATTTCCTTATTAAAACGCGTCTAATTTAAGTTTTACGAATGTTGGAGACTCGATATCTTGATGAGGAGTCAAAAGTTCTTTGATGGTGGTGTACGAATTAAGGAAGTAGGATATATAAAAACAGAGCTTTAATATACCAATGTGCTTTAATATACTTACTATTTTAGAATGTACAAGAATGTATGTATATGTAGCTTGTTAATTTAATTGTGGAGGGAACCACATTCAAAGTGCAATTCCCTTTGTAGGGGGACAGGAAGCCTGCACTTAGGCTTGTGTTGAGATCTCCCTTAGGTTGAACTAGTGGCTTTTCCTAGGATGGGGATAATTCCCCATGGAACTGTCTATGCATCAAAGCTATAAATGCAAAGACATTATTTCAGTTCAAAATCCAGATCGAAAAATATCCTTAGGAACATTGGGGGGAATCTTTGACAAACTGCTGGCTTTATGTCCCCGTGGCAACTAGAGATGGTGGCTTTCAGGTAATAATGGCTTTGGAAAGAGTTTAGTGCAGAGCAACCAAAATTATCCCAGAATGAAGGTTGAGGGCCTCGCCGACCTTCACTCATGCTAGGGAAGGTTGAGGGTCTCAGGACTAACAGCACTACAACCATATATGACTTATATATATATGACAACCATATATGTGTTGATCTCAACAAGACACCCACAATACTGAACAAATTGGAAGCCGTTAATTGAGACCGCTTCTTTAACCCTCGTACAGCAGCTATATAAAAATGCTCATTGCTGCCTATGCGGCAAAAATATATATAAAATTTTCAAAAAATAATTGTTAATTATAGAATATTTTAATTTGTATGCAAAATGTAAGTTAAACGTGAAAATAAGTGGATATTTATCTTTTTACTGGAGGTGGAGGTGAGGGAAGCTCCCACCAAAAAAAATATTAAATTTTTAAAAAATATTTATAGTTGGTAATGAAGAGAGGTGGTAGGGGTTGGGGGGAGGTGGTGATGAAGGTGCTCTGAAATATTGTATGGTGGCAGCTATGTAGTCTGGCATCTGTCAACACACGATGCCGATTTTGTTGATACTGTACTGAGGTATGCGAGACACGACTCCTGTGTTCTCCTCGGATGTTTCTTTGATTATTTATCACTTGGTTTCTCTTTATTTACAAGAGTATGTGTGTTGAATAACTTGATAAATCACATATATAATTCACATAATTCATGATAATGTTTCAGTTGATGATTGGTTTATGTAGTATACTTCATTGCAACCATATAGACCAGTGAAAACCATAGAAACATGATATAGAATGGTAATTACCTAAGTGTAGTTACAGGATGAGAGCTACGCTCGTGGTGTCCTGTCTTCCCAGTACTCTTTGTCATATAACGCTTTGAAACGAGTGTTGGGCTCTGGGTGATGATGTATAAGGGTCCCAATAGTATAGTCGAGTTTGTTCTCGACTCGCAATCAAGAATTCCGGGTTCAAATCTTGGGAGGGACAGAAATGGTTGGGCACATTTCATATCACCTAATGCCTCTGTTCACCTAACAGTAATATAGGTACCTAGATGTTAGTCAGCCTGTTGTGGGGTTGCATCCTGGGGAGAATCAGTAATTCGACCTTAGGGGGAGGGGAACTTTGATAAAAGCCTAATATATATACTATATGCATAAACTGGCTACCTGTCCCCTAACACAATAAATTATTTAAATTATTATTCTATTTCCTAATTGGTACCATATGGGCAAAAGTATACATAGAGATAAAGGTGTAAGCCACCAATGTGCCACCCACAGATGCTGGCAGGCTGTAATGCACGATAATGCTTCAATTGATTGCTTTATAATGGAACCTCATTTCCTCAGTATACCTCATTGCAACCATATGGAGCTGTCTCACCCATATGAAATAATAAATAGAGGATGCCTGTAGCAGCCCGTAGCAGCTAACTCCCAGGTACCTATTTACTGCTAGGTTAACAGGAGAATCAGGGTGAAAGAAACTCTGCCCATTTGTTTCCGCCATCGCTGGGGATCGAACCCTGGACGTGTCTAGGGATTAAAGTGTCAAAGCTTCAAGCTCAGCAACACAGTGTTGGACAGACAACAATTTTTTTTTTTTTTATCCATAAGGTAATAAACCTGTTGAATCTGTGAAGCTGTGAATCCTATGAAGCTGTGAATGCTAGGACAATACTCCAGTTCAAAAGTGACTAGGAAATATCCTCAGGAATGGGGATTACCTCTTGACATGCTGCCATCATCCTGCCACTAGAGATGATGGTCTCGGGTAAATTTACCTCCCTCTGGTCGACGGTTTTCACGTATTTTGATATCCAGCCTCAGAACTGCAGGGTGGATCGCTGGCGTGGGGGTCTGGGGCTCCCCCTTCCCCCTCCCGGGGAGGTTATCTTGAGATGATTTCGGGGCTTTAGTGTCCCCGCGGCCCGGTCCTCGACCAGGCCTCCACCCCCAGGAAGCAGCCCGTGACAGCTGACTAACACCCAGGTACTTATTTTACTGCTAGGTAACAGGGGCATAGGGTCAAAGAAACTCTGCCCACTGTTTCTCGCCGGCGCCTGGGATCGAACCCAGGACCACAGGATCACAAGTCCAGCATTCTGTCCGCTCGGCCGACCGGCTCCCTTACTACTCCCTAGGAGTAGTAAGGGTAAGACAGGAAGGGGAGGCAAAGGTTTCTTAATTAAGATGGAAAAAATGGCTAAATAGATTAGAGAGCGAGTGTGAGGAGTGCCAGCTAAAGGAGAACTCGTGGCAGTGGTTCAAAGTGAAAAGTGCTCAAGAGGCAGATCCATATGCGCCTGCCTGTGCTGTTCGAGGGCAACAGGGCACATTTGCACTTGGCGACGATCTTGTGTGTTTGGGTCCTCATGGAGAGGCTTTCCAAGCAACTCTGTGAGAGTGCGGTGTCACTGGGTTTCGCTCTGGATGTTGAGGCTTTGAGGCCTGTGATTCCGGCCCCTGTCAGCCTTGCTCAAGATGCACACCGCTCTCCTTCGGGAGGTAGTAGCACCAATTTAATTGTCTTGTTTCTTGCTCTTTAATTTCTCACATAAAGTTGCAAAGGCAATCCTCTTCTTTTCCGCACAACCTTTCCTCGGTTACAGCAAGTAGTGATGACTTCACTTAAAAGAAAATAGCCAAGCAAGCATTCCAGGTCTTTCGTCCCCAGTTTTCAGCGGTTAAAGGGCTCTTCAGTTTCAGCTTCAGTAAAGGTTTTCCTGAGGCTGTCAGCCTCAGGAAAAGGGAGTTCGCAGAGGAAAGAAGCCATTTTAAGATGTAGATAAATGGACTCTCTATCAATCAGTTCACTCTTGTAACGCTGCCCCAAATTTGTTTTTGTCTAGTTTGAGTCGTTTGACTACAATAATAAACAGCATATGTATGATAAATTGTGCTAATCAAAATATATACAGTATATGGGATAAGATTATGTTTGGTAAGGAAATGCAAGTTTGTTATTTTTTACCAGTGTAAAATTGTTCATATACAGTAAGCCTAATGGGGAAGTTCAGGGTTAATTTGAATTTAAGGGATGAAAATAACCTTTTATGCGTGAAGATTGGAAATATTCTTAATAAAAATAAAGTATAGATTAAAGTTTCACAAACAGGAATTCTCTACAGAAGTACAGAGTACTGTACAGTACTCTGTACCACAATCTTTAGGAAAGAACGCGGTGGATAGATACACTTGCAGTGCAGAAGAAAGTGATCCAAAGCTAATTGTGTGCATCTTCAGACTTGATTTATTTTGATGTAAATGGAAAATGTTATTGATTGCTCTTCTTATTATTTTATTAATGCCAATATTTGAGCAAGAAACTGGAGAGGGGGAGGTGCAGACGACGATAGCAACCCCACATAATAATCTCGGTGACAATTGACTCCTCTTTTGCTGAAGCGTGGCCTTTTTTTGTATATTTCAGGAGAGAAAAGTACTTAGCAGAATGTGGCCCAGCTCTCAGCCCTCAACAGCCAAAAAGCCAGTAATCCCAACACAAGTCTTGGCTCTGTAGGAACACTATGTGTGGGGCCAACTTCAGTAAAGGCAGCATGTAGCACAGTGACGAATATTTTCTAAAACTTTGTATTAGGAGAGATCAAGTTTTGCTTTAGTTAGAGCCGAGTTATTCCTTACCTTTCATTACAAAAAATGTATGAAAATATATCTACTGTGCCTTGCTTTTACAGTCCAGATATGTCGCTGTATGACGATATTGACACGGACAAAGCGTCGGGCGCTTCAGGATGGGCGTCGGGCATCAAACTTATGCATAATCAGCTTGCTTTTAAAAAGGCAACGATCACAACAGTATGTATAAAATTGTGCAGTGTCTCAAAATTGTGTATATTTATAAAATTGTATGTACTGTATGTACATACAATTGCGTATGTCGTATATACTCGAAATCATAAATAAACGTTTCCTGGGGATAGGGTTAAACTCTTGCACTGACTTCAGTTCAATTATTTAAACATTGCAGCTTTTGGAGCAAACTTTCATAAATGCATTTAAAACGCCAATCGACTTCTCTGGCTTAAATTTGTTTCGTTTGATTTATTTAAATTCTGATAATTTCTTTTGATTACATATCATTACATTTATAAGTTCGTGTTTCAAATGTGGATACAGTATGTTCAATTTGATCATGCCAGGGTTAACAGTTGTTAAGTGGACAACCATTAATTTTCACAATTTTAAATTCATAAATATTGTATGTACTGTGTTAGCCATGAATAACAACTTTAATCACATATTCTGGTATAAAATGTTTATTTCTATATATGTTACTGCATTTAATAGAATGATGTGTAGTAAAAATACAGTACTGTATATTACAGTACTTTTAAATGAATACAATTATATTAAATCACAGAAAAGATATATTTGAGATGCATATACACTATACTGTATATGCATTTCTGGTGGTTTACCACCACACCCTCTCCCCTTGCCCTCAATGCACATGATGGTATGACGTCACTTGCAAGGGGTTTATAGAATGAAATAGTCAAGCTATTATGCAAGAATCTATAAAAACGTGTATTAATCAATTTTGACTGTATACATACCGTATTTCTGTTGAATTTGCAGATATATATATATATACTTATTTGTTTACTGTTTTTGCTTATATTTTATCTTACCCGAATAGCCAAAGCGAGACCAGACTCGACGTGGGACTGGCGCCAAATTACCACCAGTAATTGATCTAAAGTCAAGGCGCGAGGATGATGAAAATACTCCTCCATCATTTTTTCAGGGACAGAAGGTTGGTTATTCCTTAAACATACTGTGTAAGGTGTTTTTGTGTGGGAGAAATGGGGGTGATGGCAGGGGCTGCCCCAGATACATTTCTGGGGAAAGCTCCTACGGCTCCCCGGAGAATTTACGGGGAGGTTATCTTATCTTGAGGTTATCTTGAGATGATTTCGGGGCTTTTTAGTGTCCCCGCGGCCCGGTCCTCGACCAGGCCTCCACCCCCAGGAAGCAGCCCGTGACAGCTGACTAACACCCAGGTACCTATTTTACTGCTAGGTAACAGGGGCATAGGTTGAAAGAAACTCTGCCCATTGTTTCTCGCCGGGGCCTGGGATCGAACCCAGGACCACAGGATCACAAGTCCAGCGTGCTGTCCGCTTGGCCGACCGGCTCCCTTGAGCCTCCGGGGAGCCTCCGGGACTCGCCCAGAAAATGGTGTTTCATTACATTCAACGCAATTTTTTTTATGTAATTATTTCAGTGTCTGTGAATGGTTTTATACATGTTTAGTTTTTTTTTGCAGTAATATTATCACTTTAGCACTCTGAGTGAGCAAGCCCCGCGCTATCCAGGGTGGGTCCGGGCATTCCGCGGGAGTGCATGGTAATTCTGAAACGTATACTCTTTTTCAACTTTGTCACCTCAATTATCGTCCTAGGTTTTTCAATTTGTTATCAATGTGTTTGCAATAGAATTCTCTACAGGAATAAATGCATATAAACTCCAAAACCCCAGCTTACCACCCACAGCAAACAGAGAAAGTAAGAGCGAGTTAACAAGGAGCGTGCAAGAGCAATAAAATGTGTACACTTTTCACTTTGGTCACCTCAATTCTCGTCCTAGGTCTTTCATTTTGGTATCAATGTGTTCACAATAGAATTCTATACAAGAGTATGTGCATATAATGTCAAAAACCACAGCGCACTCCACCCGCCGACAATAGGAAAGTGGGCCAAGGTTACCAGAGAGCGCTGCGCCACCCCAAGGCGCCTCTCATTACATTAGAAAGCGCAGTAATACTGAAAAGTATATACTGTACTCTTTTTCAATTTTGTCATCTCGATTCTCGTCCTAGGTTTTTCAATTCGGTTTCAATGTGTTCACAATAGAATTCTCTACAGGACTAAATGCATATAAAGCCCAAAAGCCCGGCGAGAAAGTGAGAGCGTGTTACCCGGGAGCGCACAAGAGCTATAAAAATGTGTACACTCTCTTCACATTGGACATCTCAATTCTCGTCCTAAGTCTTTCATTTTGGTATCATTGTGTTCGCAATAGAATTCCATACAGGCGTATATACAAATATAAAGTCCAGAAGCCCGGCATACTGCCCACAGCAAACAGAAAGTGAAGGAGCGTCACTCCAGTCAGCGCTAATAAAATGGGTATACGCTTTTCAATTTTGTTACCTCAATTCTGGTATTAGGTCTTTAATTTTATATCAATGTATTTGTAATGAAATTCCCTACAGGAGTATATGCATATAATGTCCAAAACCGCAGCGTGCCCCTCCCGAAGCCGCCGCGAATTTGCCACCGCCAACGACGCAATACTGCATCGTTACCGGACGTTCATTTACTAAATGGACAACGCAATGCTGTGTCGTTACCGGGATAAAGTGTTATTCAATAATGTGTAATTTGTGGAATTTATATAGTTTAATGTGTGGAACATCGCTATTCTAACAAATATGGGGCTCGAGTATTGTGACACGTATATTATATTTTTAGATCAAGCAAACTGTGTTCTTAATGTTATTACACTATATACACATGTTATATACAGTATCACTGTCAACATTTATATGCACCATAACATACTAATAAGCATTTCTGGTGGGTATGGTGATGAAATCAAAACACAGCACGGAGCCACAAGCAGATGACGCTAGCAGTCACATGATGCAAGACAATGCCTCCAATATTCTACACATCTCACTATAACTAGCTACAAAACTGCTGCTGTTACCACATTCCTGTCACAAAATCCTGAATATGAATCCATTTCAACAGGGTTGAAGTGGGAGCCGGTCGGCCGAGCGGACAGCACGCTGGACTTGTGATCCTGTGGTTCCGGGTTCGATCCCGGGCGCCGGCGAGAAACAATGGGCAGAGTTTCTTTCACCCTATGCCCCTGTTACCTAGCAGTAAAATAGGTACCTGGGTGTTAGTCAGCTGTCACGGGCTGCTTTCCTGGGGGTGGAGGCCTGGTCGAGGACCGGGCCGCGGGGACACTAAAAAGCCCCGAAATCATCTCAAGATAACCTCAAGATTATATTGTGAAGGAACATGAGGATGTTTCATGATGCGTAGATGTAGGAAACAATGGCTGGGTGATGTGTCTTTGCCTCAGGCTGTGAATATCATAACTAACATTGTATTCACTGATATCTGAATGTTGTACATAGTCTTTATCACAGTCAGGATCATCTATGACACTATCAATGCAAAATAATTACAGTTACCTATTTTATTCATCATTACTAAGTGGTGCTGTGGCCCCCTAGCTGCACAACGGTGCTGTGAGCTGTTGCTGCATACGCCAGCCTTGGTCGCTCTCTCAACGAGTACAGAAGCTGACAATTTTTTTTCTAGATGGCGTCTGTTTACTGGAGTTGTGAGGCACAGGAAGTGAGCCCTGTGTAGCCGTGGGAGATTTGAATCGCTCCCAATACCTAAAAACACCATATGGTGCACACCCCCGATCGGGTGCCTTGAAGTCAATTTAAATTTAAAGTGCAATTTAAACTGCGCTCTGTGCAGTGCAGTGGTTAAGGCATTGAAGTAGCAGTCCCTGTGGCGCAGTGGTAAAGCATTTTCCCGGCGCTTCGCAAGTACTTTGGCTTGGGTACGTATCCTGGCCAGGGAGGATTGACTGGGTGCCAATCCTTAACTGTAGCCTCTGTTCACCCAGCAGTGAATTGGTACCTGGTTGTTAAACGATATGACGGGTCATATTCCGGGGAAAAATAAGGACTAAGGAACTGCCCGAAATGCTATGCATATTAGTAGCTTTACCCACCAGTTGATTGACAGTTGAGAGGCGGGACCAAAGAGCCAGAGCTCAACCCCCGCAAGCACAATTAGGTGACAATTAGGTGAGTACAAGAATGTAAGAACACTTGTGTATATATAAATAATAGTAAAAAAGTCATCACTATAGGAACAATACTCGTCTTTAATATACAGTACACAGGCGCCAGGCGCCGACGAGAAACATTGGGCAGAGTTTCTTTCACCCTATGCCCCTGTTACCTAGCAGTAAAATAGGTACCTGGGTGTTAGTCAGCTGTCACGGGCTGCTTCCTGGGAGTGGAGGCCTGGTCGAGGACCGGGCCGCGGGGACACTAAAAGCCCCGAAATCATCTCAAGATAACCTCAAGATAACACATAAGAACCACATGTACACATTGGACCCCTTAACTAGCCATGAGCTTCATGTGCCCAAGATAGTGCCACTAGAAATGAAAAAAATAACCCGAAACGCACACATGAAGAGAAAGGAAAGTGACAATGTTTCGATTTGGTTAGGGTCTAGGACGTGCTGAAATGTTGTCGCTTTCCTTTTGTATGTGCCGATTGGGTTATTGGCTTTCGGCCGCAGTATTGTGACGTATTCTCTGCAGATGTGAATATGTTTGCCTGAGGATTGAGGTCTTGCAGAGTTATTGAGTATATATTAATAGATACAATTTGGTTATAATATCCATTTTGTAATTAATATCTAGGAAAATACTAAGTTTTTTTTTTAAGAAGATTAAAGTTATCCTGGGCATACATAAATCTGTGTATCTATGTATTTACGTATGTAGGTTAGCTTAGCATTTTAAAAGCACCGAATCACCTTCTGTGGTTGAGTGTTCAATAAACCCTTGAACTATATGTTTAACACTTCTCTAACCCTGTCCATGGAGGACAGAAGAAAATGTATATATGCTGGTTAGCATTGTAAATGTGTGGCCACGTCTGTATTAGAAAATAATAAAAAAAAAATGTAGTGTAAGATTGAGAAGCGGTAGTGCATCTTTTATGGGATCTTTGCTATATAGAATTTAATTTGCTTTAGTCTTTTCGCATATTTTTAATTGATACATAATAAAATGAAGCAGGTCGTAAGAATACAGTACTGTATTGTACTAGAAAAATAACAACATTTTAGCGATTGCGCTGTTCAGTCTGTCAAATTGGCTGACCTTGTAGTTTATAACAAAACTTAATTAGTTCAGTGGAAATGCAGTGGTATTATATGTACTGTTAACATTAATTGATGTACTGGTACAAACTATCACTTGTAAAATTTTGTAATCTGTGTACTATTATTTTAAATGTCTCTAGTACAATTTTTTTGTGTAATTGAAGCATATTTAAATTTGGTTAAGACACTGGATGTTTGTTTTCTTTTCTGTTTGCAAATATTTCCTCCTAACATAGTCATTGAATATCAGGAATTTGCAAGAACTACAGGAACCGCGCCATATGTTGGCTCCAGCGACCCCGAATGGAAATTTGTCAATGAATATGACCCAATATGGCCCAATGACTATGAGAAAGTCGTCAAAGGTAAAATACAATTAGTGTATTTTGTATTAGTGTATTTATGCAATTTTGTAGGTTGTTAATTTTCTCTTCATAGCTTATGCAGAAGATATACGGTATTGCTTTATCTGCATTAATGGTTATATTAAGTTGGATATTACTGCAGACATTAGTATATCTCTTAAAAAAAAACTGATATATCCGTACTATATATTTGTTTCTAGAAATGAGAGAGAAGAGAGACCGAGAAGAGGAAGAAACAAGAATAAAGGAGAGAGAAGAGAGAGAGAGGAAGAGAAGGGACAGGTAAGATCGGCTGCTCGGTAATAACAGCAGCAATGTTAACGGTAATAACAGTTTGCCAGCTTAAAATGCTGACGATACTGGGTCAGTGTGACCTATGGTTGTGATCTTGGCCTTTCTGCCCATTGGTGCGTTGTAAGTTTCAATTGATCCATCTGACTTGACCTCTAAACTGTGCAGCTGTTTAGGGGTCAAGTCTAAACTGTGCAGCTGTTTAGGGGTCAAGTCTAAACTGTGCAGCTGTTTAGGGGTCAAGTCTAAACTGTGCAGCTGTTTAGGGGTCAAGTCTAAACTGTGCAGCTGTTTAGGGGTCAAGTCTAAACTGTGCAGCTGTTTAGGGGTCAAGTCTAAACTGTGCAGCTGTTTAGGGGTCAAGTCTAAACTGTGCAGCTGTTTAGGGGTCAAGTCTAAACTGTGCAGCTGTTTAGGGGTCAAGTCTAAACTGTGCAGCTGTTTAGGGGGGTTAGGATGCTACTTTGTTTGTGCATCAAGGTGTGCCTGATAAGTAGGCGACAAATCAAATGGTAAAAGAAAACTATTGCAATTGGAGCAGTGTAAGGGTTAGTGCATAGACATACTCTTGGCAACAGTATTGTTTGGCTAAATGTGATCAGAGACTTAAGTACAAAATCATACATTTTACACATACGTTTTATATTTATAATTATTTTTCACATGGATTTCTTAATCTGAAACTTATTCTGTCAGTTTCGTACAGTCATTCCTTAACTCCTAGTATTTTATAGATTTTTTCCAGGAGATACATTTGAACTGAGGTGGGTGATGCATGTATTGAGTATTGTATCTGTTTGTTCTACAAAGTACGATGGGCTGCAACAGTGCAGAAAAACATTAAGCAGAGAAGGAGGAAAATGCCAAGCCATTTCCACTATATAGCACTGGGAAGGGATCAGGATAATGATTTGGGATGGTTATCTTGAGGTTGTCTTGAGATGATTTCGGGGCTTTTAGTGTCCCCGCGGCCCGGTCCTCGACCAGGCCTCCACCCCCAGGAAGCAGCCCGTGACAGCTGACTAACACCCAGGTACCTATTTTACTGCTAGGTAACAGGGGCTTAGGGTGAAAGAAACTCTGCCCATTGTTTCTCGCCGGCGCCTGGGATCGAACCCAGGACCACAGGATCACAAGTCCAGTGTGCTGTCCGCTCGGCCGACCGGCTCCCCTGAGACGGTGGGAGGAAATGGTGCCCAACTACTTGGACGGTCGGGGAGTGAGCGCCGACCTGCATGAAGCGAGACCATCACTCTACCGTCCAGCCAGCTAGAGAGTAGACTTTATTGATGATGTTTTGGTAGTTAGGGGTTTTATCAGGTCACCTTATTTCTTTATAAGCAGCTTACCATGTGCATCTCTTAGTTATGCTACAAGTTCTTATTGGCACAATATCATTTTCAGTAAAGTTTAGTACATGTCTACCAAGTACAAGTAGAGTTGGTACACAAGTCTATTTGGTAGACTTGTGTACCAAGTAGAGAAGTTACTTGTCTATATCTACTTGTCAACCTACCAAGTAGGTAGACATGTATTCACAATATTGTGAATATTCGCAATATTGTTTATATATTGCAAGATATGCTTGGAATAGGGGGCTGCGGATACCTCTCTTGCTGGACTGTGATCAAAATGTCTCGTTGTTATTGTTATAACTCACAACATTTTTATGATTTAGAGGAAGTAGCGAAGAGGCAACAGGCTTTGCACGTCTAAGAGAGCCCGAAGAGGAGGAGGAGGAGGAGGAAGAAGAGCGACCACGAAGAGGTAAGTAACCAACCAAAATGGGTTACCTTGAGGTGCTTCTGAGGTGGTGAAATAATTTCAAGAATAAGAAGGGAATGTTTGGCATATATATAACTGAAACATTATCAATATCTGGAATGGCTTACAATTAAACAAATCCACAAAGGGCCGTGACGAGGATTCGAACCTGCGTCCGGGAGCATCCCAGACACTGCCTTAATCGACTGAGCTACGACAGGGTTAAAAGGGTCGAAACCGAAGTTCTACTGAACTTACTGCATCCCGTAGCCTCTCCGAGGCGCAAACCAAGATTTTACACAACCCCCCCTCCCCCCTGCACTCAGTCGATTAAGGCAGTGTCTGGGATGCTCCCGGACGCAGGTTCGAATCCTCGTCACGGCCCTTGTGGATTTGTTCATTTGATGCATCACGTTAGTGTGATCTCTGTGTGTAAGGCTTACAATTAAATTAAAATGTTTTAACTTCATATATTTCATTGTGGTGGCATTTACATGTGTACATTGGTATAGATGTGTACATGTACAAATATAGAGTATAGATTTATATATATAAATAACTATGCATTTTTATTGAGCAGGTGCCGGTGCAGCCATTGCACCACCTCCGTCACTAGGCGCAGACGATGGATCTTCCCCTGTTGGTGGCTCGAGTAAAGGAGCCAACTTTAGTGGTTTGGGTAGCACCATTGCTGCAAAAATTATGGCAAAATATGGGTTTAAGGTACAGTACAGTACATTAATATTGTTGTAAAAAGTATGTATGTGGATATGCAAGCTGATTTGTTATATAGTTTACACATATAAACCATATGCAACAGGGAGCCGGGAGCATATGGGAGCCAGTCGGCCGAGCGGACAGCACGCTGGACTTGTGATCCTGTGGTCCTGGGTTCGATCCCAGGCGCCGGCGAGAAACAATGGGCAGAGTTTCTTTCACCCTATGCCCCTGTTACCTAGCAGTAAAATAGGTACCTGGGTGTTAGTCAGTTGTCACGGGCTGCTTCCTGGGGGGTGGAGGCCTGGTCGAGGACCGGGCCGCAGGGACACTAAAAAGCCTCAAAATCATCTCAAGATAACCTCAAGATAACACTATCTGAGGCCTAATATAGTACATATATGTGCTATAATAGGCCTAGGAATATTTAAGTTTGGGTTTTAGCTTTATTTTTTTTTTCCAGACTCTAATGATGAATACGTGTAGTAGCAAATTCTGCTGTCCATTACAAGAATATGTGTACAATGGTGCACAGAGTTGCAATATAAACTGTTAACAGGAGGCTGGGTTGTACAAAAGGATTACCAAACTAGATGCAAGCTCGGTCATTAGTTGAGGCAACCTAGGAGAGCATATAACACCATAGGTAAACAACAGGAATGTTTCGGGACCTACCTTCATCAAGTGAATGACACTTGGTACAAGAGGAATTGACAGGAGTAGATATGGGTAAACTGTTTAATACTGGTGGTACGCAAACAAGGGGACACAGGTGGAAACCGAGTACCCAAATGAGCCACAGGGACGTTAGGGCAACTTTTTCCGTGTCAGAGTTGTTAACAGATGCAATGCACTAGGAAGTGATGTGGTGGAGGCTGACTCCATACACAGTTTCAAATGTAGATATGATAGAGCCCAGTAGGCTCAGGAACCTGTACACCAGTTGATTGACAGTTGAGAAGCAGGACCAAAGAGCCAGCTCTCAACCCCCGCAAGGGCAACTAGTTGAGTACAACTAAGTGAGTACGTGATGACAGTCTTTGGTAGTGGCCAGGTTGCCAGCTATCAATAAACAGATAGATCCATGACATTGTTTTTGACAAGTATAGCTTGGAGTCTGTGAGTATAGATAAATGAGCCTACTGGAGGTCAGTCTGGGTTGGATTGATAAAAATAATGAGTATACCGTGTCTTTCTTCACTTGTAATCCAGTAGAAGAATTTATTAAACTTTCCACTGTACTGGGAAAGGAATGTTGTCTTGGCCTGACTACTGTTTAATAATAATAATTAATTATTAATTTATTTAATGTACCAGTAAATCTGTTTGTTTGAACATGTATCAGTAAAAGCAGGAAATTGCTTAAGGAGGCAATCAAGTGGGCTAGCTCAGAAAATGTGTTTACACGAATATTGTGGGTTGCATCCTCGTAAATGGCTAGCTGTTGGTTAGCAGGAACCATACAAGCCTAAGGGCCTCTTCTCCCCGACAAAAGAAAACCGAAATTGCGGTTAAATCAAAGTATATACAGTAATACGATTGAACAATTATGTGTAGGCAATCATAACTTAAATTCAAATTTTGTCGTCGTTAAAATGTATATGCTACGTTGCTCATCTTGCTAGAATATTATATGGGGATGTGAAGCTAATTTATTTCTCCATTATTGGTGCTTAGGAAGGTCAAGGCCTTGGTAAAAGTGAGCAAGGCATTGTTCGTGCTCTGGAGGTGGAAAAGACAAGTAAGCGAGGGGGTCGAATTGTATTGGAGCGTGAGGACTCTCCGGGACCACCAGCCATGCCGCCCCCTGTTGCCCCACCTCCCACACGCACACCACAGTCGGAAAAGCCCGAGGCAAAGATGGCACACATTCTACGAAATCCATCTAAAGTGGCGCTTCTCAGGGTAAGTTAATTAGCAAACCTATTTTTTTCTCCTTCAGTAGTAAATACACATTTTACTAAACTGTGATGACAGTGTGAATCTCTGTTGTGTTCAAGAGTTTGGCCCTGAGAGGCCAGGCTACTATTTACGAGAGAGGCTCACCCTGGGTAGTGCAAGAGTTTTGACACCTGTGATGCCTGTGGTTGGAGGCATTTGGGATGTTTTTGTTGTGGGTTGCACCTAAGAGTTCATGTGCTTGTTCATTCAGCACACCACTGGTGCCTTATGTAGCCAAGTTTATCTTGTATCTTGAGATGATTTCGGGGCTTTAGTGTCCCCGCGGCCCGGTCCTCGACCAGGCCTCCACCCCCAGGAAGCAGCCTGTGACAGCTGACTAACTCCCAGGTACCTATTTACTGCTAGGTAACAGGGGCATAGAGTGAAAGAAACTCTGCCCATCGTTTCTCGCTGGCGCCTGGGATCGAACCCGGGACCACAGAATCACAAGTCCAGTGTGTTGTCCGCTCGGTCGACCAGCTTCCCATAGGGCCACATTTGGCCACATTTAGCCACATTTGGTGTCGGTTCTTTCAACGAGCGTCCTTAGTGCCCCGGGTGGGGGGGGGGCTGCTTGGTTACGCTCCTTCAGGTCCTGGTAACTTCCCTGTGAATCTACAGCATGGTACATACTGGATTGACCTGTCAAGCCCACACTCACTACTTGTGAGTTAGAGGGTTGTACGGAGGTTTTGCTACAAACCGATGATCGGTTCTACCGTCTCCTGCTGCCTGTTGAGTGAGTGTTACGCTCTACTCCATGGCTTGCAATGTTGGGGTTCACAGGTTCAGTATTTTTTTCCAAACACCATTTCATAAGTTATTTTGTATACCTCCAGTTCACATTCTATCCTGAGCCATCTTGGTCTCTGGATAGAATTTTTGTTTTTCTTTCATCTCCTCAGTTCAGGATAATTATTTCAAGGTTTTGTCTTTGCTTTCTGTTGTTGTGTTGGGAAGCTTCATTCTCTCCTTTGGAAGCAGGGGCTTTGTTCCTTCGATGCAGGTAGATGGTTCCTTCATCTGCCGCTTTCTCCTCCTTTTTTTGGCAAAGAATCAGGTGGTTGACTTCTAGTTGGGACCTTTGGTTATTGGTGAATTGTTCATTCGACCGAGGGTGTATCATTTGCTTTGTCACGTTTTGGCTATTCATTGCTATCTGTATGCCAGCCTGACTGTTTCAGGGATGTTATTTGTAGATCCTTACTCCTTGAACCCCCTGTTCCAAAGCTCATTTTTCTCAAGTTGTCCATAGTGTCGTTAAATCTATCCAGCCTGAGGTCTATCCTCTTGCACATCATGTTTCAAAGTCTCTAGTTCTCACCGTGGTATTCTTATATAATTTGGACTGATATCAGAGCTTAGGGGTTTTGAAGGTCTAACAGGGTTTTGTGGTTTGTATATATTGTGGCTTGTAATGCCGGTGCTCATATAATGTGTGTGGAGCAATCTGATTGCAGTTAACTACAGGGAGCTATCAATGCCCATAGAAAGAGTTGTTTCAATACATTCAATGTTGATTTTAATCTCCAATGTAGATGATGAGTCACAATAACGTGGCTGAAAAATGTTGACCAAACCACACACTAGAAATTGAAGGGATGACGACGTTTTGGTTCGTCCTGGACCATTCTCAAGTCGACTATCGACTTGAGAATGGTCCAGGACGGACCAAAACGTCGTCGTCTCTTCAACTTCTAGTGTGTGGTTTGGTCAACTTTAATCTTTTAATTTGTTTCTTCTATATTTCTCTATATACAGTAAAGTGACTCGGATTATGTTAAATTATTATATTACAGAATATGGTGGGTCCAGGGGAGGTGGATGACGAATTAGAGCCAGAAGTGCGTGAGGAATGCAATGGGAAATATGGGGCTGTAGTTCAAGTGGTGATCTTTGAAATTCCGAGGGCTGTTCCTGAAGAAGCCGTTCGCATCTTTGTAGAATTTCAGAGAGTTGAATCGGCCATTAAGGGTAAGTAAAGAGGTCCTGTTGTGTTATAATTAATTAAAATGGTGAAGTGAAAAAATCATATAACATTTTGTCTGAAACTTGTGGTAATTACTAAAAGCATTAAGGTGAGTGAAGCTAATAGTACGACTCAATCGACTTGAGAATGGTCCAGGACGGACCGAAACGTCGTCGTCCCTGCAACTTCTAGTGTGTGGTCTGGTCAACATACTTCAGCCACGGTATTGTGACTCATCGCCTGCATAAGCTAATAGTATATATATATATATATATATATATATATACACACACACATACACATACACATACATACATACATACATACATACATACATACATACATACATACATACATACATACATACATACATACATACACACACACACTATTAGCTTATGCAGGCGATGAGTCACAATACCGTGGCTGAAGTATGTTGACCAGATACATACAATTATTAAATATTCAACTAGAAACCTCAACTTACCTTGTTGGTGTTCGTCTTCTTGATTGATGCCACACATCTTGAAGTTAAAAATTCTTAACCTATACTAACACAACACTAAAATTAACACTTAAAATTACTGTACAGTAATGGCGCGTCACTTGTTGAAAGCGCTTGGCTTGCCTGTGGCGCGTCACTTGTTGAAAGCGCTTGGCTTGCCTGTGGCGCGTCACTTGTTGAAAGCGCTTGGCTTGCCTGTAATGCCTCACTTGTTGAAGGAGCTTGGCTTGCCTGTAATGCCTCACTTGTTGAAGGAGCTTGGCTTGCCTGTAATGCCTCACTTGTTGAAGGAGCTTGGCTTGCCTGTGGCGCCTCACTTGTTGAAGGCGCTTGGCTGCCTGTGACGCTTCACTGGTTGAACAACACGTAACTTGTCTTTAATTGCTAGGACAATCTTCTTCCTCTTAACACTTCCAGAACGATTGATGCTGCTACCAGACATATTCTTGGCCAAAAATGTTCAAAATTACTATGAAAATTAAGAAAGTTATTTAAAAAAATATTTCACTAATGGCGCAACACTGTGAGGCCGCACTGGTTGAGGTGTATAGCAGTGACTTGTCTTTAATTGTTAGGACAACTTTCTTCCTCTTAACACCTCCAGAACGATTGATGCTGCTACCAGACATAGTCTTGGCCAAAAATGTTCAAAGTTACTATGAAATTAAAAAAGTTATTTAAAAAAATATTTCACTAATGGCGCAGCACTGTGTATAACACGAGGGACGGACGCACATGGGTTGACCAGTGTTGGATGGGTCCACTTGGGGTGGGGCAGCGATAGCACGTTAAGTAGGCCGCCAGGAGGAAAAAAATTCACAATATTTTTTAAGGAAACTTCAGCCTGTGCACAATGCTTTTAGGAAACTTATTTATTTGTTATTACATAATTACTAGTACTTATTTCATTTGTTTTTGGCTATGATTAATTGTTCTAAAATTAATGGTAATTCCTGTACCCAGGTGGTCCCTCCTGACGCACCCCTCCCACCCTCCCACCCTCCCAACACCACCCACCCCACCCCCCTCCTCCACCATGCGTCTAGAGCCACAGACGGGATTAATACGGTATGGCCGTATTTTCATCCGGCCAAACTAGCTTTTATCCGGTTCCTGTGGCCATTTTGGCCGGATATTGTGATAACTTTATCCGATAACGATTTTGGCCGTATAAGGGCGTTTTCCGGATGTTTGAATCCCGGATAATCGCGGGGTTACAGTAATAAATCTCTTGCTGGACTCTGGAGTATTGTATTGTTTAAGCCAGTTACTCAAATTACTTTAGCAACACTGAAAATTTATGATACACTACAAATGGAATTTTTCATAGCTAAATTTTTTGTTTTTTGTTTTGTCTTTTCAGCTGTAATTGACTTGAACGGGAGATTCTTTGGTGGACGCCAAGTGAAAGCTGGGTTCTATGACCATGAAGATTTCAAGGCATTCAAACTCAATGAAGCTTGTGATTAACTCTCGAACTTGGAAGAGTCGGGATACTCATAAAAGTTCTCTAGGATTATTTTCCAATTCATTTATAAAAAGACATAAAGTTAAAGAAAAAAAATGGGATAAAGATATTTTTTGCAATTGTTTGACAAATAGATTACATGCTATGCTTAAATTTGATAATTATATCTGTTTCGTCGATTGTGAAGTGTTTTGCCTTGCAAATAAAGCTACAATATTTTTAATATATAATTTTTATCCAGTTTGGAGTTTTGTATCCATTTATGGAGTAGGTTGATGGTTAAAGTTCAGTATGATGTAGAATTTAATTTTGTGTGACGGATTGGTGTAGTTTGTGCGGGAGGTTTGTTACTGAAGTGGTCGTGTGAGACATGGTGAATGAATTTTGTTCATTCTTGTGGTGTTTGTGTGTTACTGAGGAAGTCTTGGTTGTAGGGTTGATGTAAAGTCATGACTTGGTTACTGACTTTAATACTTAATATGATTACATGACTAGTTGCTACCAAGCTTGGCGGGCGTCCTGTACGCTCTATTGTTTACCTTCTCTCTCTCTGGCGTCTCAGCCGCCGCACAAAGAAAATGGATGGTACCATTTTCTGTGAACATGACAATTCTCTATGCCTTTCTACCTCATAATAGGCAGGAATATTGTATTTATGACTGTGGTTTTAGTCACTGCTTGTGAGTGATGATTAAGTTTAGATAATGAGTGACAGTGGTTGCTGCGACCACGAGTGGCGGTGGTTGCTGCGACCTCGAGTGACGGTGGTTGCTGCGACCGCGAGTGACGGTGGTTGCTGCGACCGCGAGTGATGGTGGTTGCTGCGACTGCGAGTGACGGTGGTTGCTGCGACCGCGAGGGACGGTGGTTGCTGCGACTGCGAGTGACGGTGGTTGCTGCGACCGCGAGTGACGGTGGCTGCTGCTGCAATTACACACACACACACACACACACACACACACACACACACACACACACACACACACACACACACACACACACACATGTCTTTTTGGGAATAAAGTATGCAATGCGTTATAAGCTGGAAGAAAATAAGGAGGTTGAAGCAGTTGAAAAACCAGACTTCAGGAGAGGACATTATGGTGACCTTAGAAATTTTTTTAGTGAGTATAATTAGACAGACTTGATGCTAGGCAAGGAAGTGAATGAGATGTATGGCAAGTTTTGTGAAATATATGATAAAGGCACAAAAAAATTTATACCAAAACAGAGATGCAGAACTAGGAAACAGGATTGGTTCAATAGAAATTGCGAGAGGGCTAGAGACCGAAAGACACAAAAATGGAATCAATACAGGAAGAGGCCGAACCCCCAAACATACCAGCGATACAAAGATGCGAGAAACAACTACACGGCAGTGAGGAGAGAGACAGAAAGAAATTTTGAAAAAGGGATTGCGGACAAATGTAAAACGGAACCAGGTCTATTCTATAAATTCATAAACAACAAATTGCAGGTAAAGGATAATATTCAGAGGTTGAAAATGGGAAATAGATTCACAGAAGATGAAAAGGAAATGTGTGAAACACTAAACGAAAAGTTCCAAAGTGTGTTTGTACAAAATGAAATCTTTAGGGAACCAGATACAATAAGAATTCCAGAGAACAACATAGAACACATAAAGGTGTCTAGAGACGAAGTGGAAAAAATGCTCAAGGAGCTCGGCAAGAACAAAGCAGCTGGCCCAGATGGCGTTTCACCATGGGTTCTGAGAGAATGTGCATCTGAGCTCAGCATTCCACTTCACCTGATCTTTCAGGCATCCCTGTGTACAGGAATCGTAGCAGACGGGTGGAAACAGGCTAACATAGTTCCAATCTACAAAAGTGGCAGCAGGGAAGACCCCCTCAATTATAGACCTGTATCATTGACAAGTGTAATAGTGAAAGTATTGGAAAAACTAATCAAAACTAAATGGGTAGAACACCTAGAGAGAAATGATATAATATCAGACAGACAGTATGGTTTTCGATCTGGAAGATCCTGTGTATCGAATTTACTCAGTTTCTATGATCGAGCCACAGAGATATTACAGGAAAGAGATGGTTGGGTTGACTGCATCTATCTGGACCTAAAAAAGGCTTTCGACAGAGTTCCACATAAGAGGTTGTTCTGGAAACTGGAAAATATTGGAGGGGTGACAGGTAAGCTTCTATCATGGATGAAAAATTTTCTGACTGATAGAAAAATGAGGGCAGTAATCAGAGGCAATGTATCAGAATGGAGAAATGTCACAAGTGGAGTACCACAGGGTTCAGTTCTTGCACCAGTGATGTTTATTGTGTACATAAATGATCTACCAGTTGGTATACAGAATTATATGAACATGTTTGCTGATGATGCTAAGATAATAGGAAGGATAAGAAATTTAGATGACTGTCATGCCCTTCAAGAAGACCTGGACAAAATAAGTATATGGAGCACCACTTGGCAAATGGAATTTAATGTTAATAAATGTCATGTTATGGAATGTGGAATAGGAGAACATAGACCCCACACAACCTATATATTATGTGAGAAATCTTTAAAGAATTCTGATAAAGAAAGAGATCTAGGAGTGGTTCTAGATAGAAAACTATCACCTGAGGACCACATAAAGAATATTGTGCAAGGAGCCTATGCTATGCTTTCTAACTTCAGAATTGCATTTAAATACATGGATGGCGATATACTAAAGAAATTGTTCATGACTTTTGTTAGGCCAAAGCTAGAATATGCAGCTGTTGTGTGGTGCCCATATCTTAAGAAGCACATCAAAAAACTGGAAAAGGTGCAAAGACATGCTACTAAGTGGCTCCCAGAACTGAAGGGCAAGAGCTACGAGGAGAGGTTAGAAGCATTAAATATGCCAAAACTAGAAGACAGAAGAAAAAGAGGTGATATGATCACTACATACAAAATAGTAACAGGAATTGATAAAATCGACAGGGAAGACTTCCTGAGACCTGGAATTTCAAGAACAAGAGGTCATAGATTTAAACTAGCTAAACACAGATGCCGAAGAAATATAAGAAAATTCACCTTCGCAAATAGAGTGGTAGACGGTTGGAACAAGTTAAGTGAGAAGGTGGTGGAGGCCAAGACCGTCAGTAGTTTCAAAGCGTTATATGACAAAGAGTGCTGGGAAGACGGGACACCACGAGTGTAGCTCTCATCCTGTAACTACACTTAGGTAATTACACACACACTCTCACTCACTCTCTGTATGTATGTATGGTAATACATGCTGGAGTAAAATGTGTGATATAAATGAGGAGAAATTGGTGTGATGCCATGATCAGCCTATTGACAGTATTAATTGTTCATGTATTACAAGTTATCACAGTGTTGTCTATGAATGCTCGTACAAGTCTTGAGAAATGCAACGGAAGGTTTGGGGGTGTGTAGACAAATGTAATATTTTTGTAATAGATGAATAATCGATCTGGCAGCTAACTCGATATTATTGATCGATCTAGATCGTGTGTACGGTCTGTGTTTTATATGCACTCACTCGAAATTTGTTTGTAAAATGCATAATAATGGTGTTATTTGTACATTAGGCTGTGTAAGTTAAAGCTTAAAACACCTCTGAATGGACGCACATTTATAATTGACCTGAATGTGTATCTGTTGTACATTAGCTTATACATTGACATAGACCAGGAAGGATATCAGGAATATGATCAGACATTTATGGTACTGGTTATCTTGAGATGATTTCGGGGCTTTAGTGTCCCTGCGGCCCGGTCCTCGACCCAGCCTCCACCCCCCCAGGAAGCAGCCCGTGACAGCTGACTAACACCCAGGTACCTATTTTACTGCTAGGTAACAGGGGGCATAGGGTGAAAGAAACTCTGCCCATTGTTTCTCGCCGGCGCCCGGGATCGAACCCAGGATCACAAGTCCAGTGTGCTGTCCGCTCGGCCGACCGGCTCCCTACATTGTTATGATGGAGGGAAAGTATGTATATATGTTCATTTAATGATTCTTTGCTTGTTTAGAGAAAGCTGTTAAAATGTGTGTTTATACATTTATACATTTAGGTGGCCTCGTAGCCTGGTGGATAGCGCGCAGGACTCGTAATTCTGTGGCGCGGGTTCGATTCCCGCACGAGGCGGAAACAAATGGGCAAAGTTTCTTTCACCCTGAATGCCCCTGTTACCTAGCAGTAAATAGGTACCTGGGAGTTAGTCAGCTGTCACGGGCTGCTTCCTGGGGGTGGAGGCCTGGTCGAGGACCGGGCCGCGGGGACACTAAAGCCCCGAAATCATCTCAAGATAACCTCAAGAAGATATATTGTTGTGGAAGACATCAACTTGGAAGTCCTGAACCTTTGTATGATACACTATAATGTGACAAATGTCGGTACGTGTCATTGTGGCAGCCATAGTTATTCCCTATAGTAACAGCTCATGGGTTTTGTCATGGCTTTTTTTCTCGTTCTTGCTGCCCATTCTTTTCCCCCATTTTCCCTGGGAGCCGGTCGGCCGAGCGGACAGCACGCTGGACTTGTGATCCTGTGGTCCCGGGTTCGATCCCAGGCGCCGGCAAGAAACAATGGGCAGAGTTTCTTTCACCCTATGCCCCTGTTACCTAGCAGTAAAATAGGTACCTGGGTGTTAGTCAGCTATCACGAGCTGCTTCCTGGGGGTGGAGGCCTGGTCGAGGACCGGGCCGCGGGGACACTAAAAAGTCCCAAAATCATCTTAAGATAACCTCAAGATAACCCTTTCCTTTACTTCCTTTCATTCCTTCACCCACATGTTTCATCCTGGCCATTCCCCGGGCCCCCTTCTCGTGGCTTCCCTTACCCTTTTCATGCCCCTTTCTTGCCTTCTTGTCATCCTCCCTTTTGCTCACAATGTGCTGCAAAGGACCCCCCCTCAAGTTCTCCTGGCCCTTCCCTCCTTTTTTTTTTATTTTAGGTCCTAAGCTCCTGCCTTCACAGGTCCTTCTCAGGTTCTCCCAACTTCTCTTCAGGGCCTCCCAAGTTCTCCTCAGGACCTCCACAGGACTTCCCTGGCATCCTCTAGTGCTCCATTGGTCCTCACAAGTAAGTAATGATGAAAGAAGGTGTCATGTTAGGAAGATTACATAGCATTGCCTAAGTTGCAAGGTATTCAAGAGGTGCTAAATATCATTCCATTAGGTGCCAGTTCGAGAACAGTGGGACATATGGCGAACGATACCAAATATAAAGGAATCGCCAAGGATGCTAATGAGAGAGAACCGACCTCTACCCCCCAAACACACACCGAAACTACGACGTTGGTACAACGTTCGAACAAGTTTTAATACCTCCTAACTAGTTATAACAACCAATATAGCAAGTTGTAACAACGTTCTAATACGTCATAAACACGTTAAGCCAAGATGTAACACCTTTATTACAAGTTGTAACAAGCGGGAAATAGAGACAGTTTCGGTTTGTGTTTCCAGGGTAGGGACAGTTGGGAAAACAAGACGCTAACAATTTTGAAGATCATGGTAACCAACCAGGTGAAAGACTTGGCGGGATAAGACAGAATAATTGGGAGCAGGATCCTGTTCCCGTAAGTGACCATAAGTCGGGCAGGAGTGATTGAAACGCAACCTATCCAGAGGCGTTTCCCAGTTTCTATTTTGGTGGCAGGAAGATGAGAAAGGGGATACTTTAAGAAACCCCAGTTACTGTAACACGGGTCCCATGACCCCTGCTAACAGGTGCAAATTGCGGCATGAGTGACCGGGCAGAAACCTGAATACGGGACCCTCACCTTTCTGTAAAATGTTATAAATAAGCTTCAGGGGTTAATAGAAATGATCTCGACGCACAATTCTTCACTACACACAGAGATCACACTAACGTGATGCATCAAATGAACAACTCCACAAGATCAGTCGATTAAGGCAGTGTCTGGGATGCTCCGGGACGCAGGTTCGAATCCTCGTCACTGCCCTTTTGGATTTGTTTACTATTCTTCACCATCCAGTAGTCTTGGCACTCCTCAAGTGTCAACTGAGTGTGTGTGCCTCTGTAGCAGCACCAGTTAACCTCATCTGGACCACTCCTCAAGTGTCAACTGAGTGTGTGTGCCTCTGTAGCAGCACCAGTTAACCTCATCTGGACCACTCCTCAAGTGTCAACTGAGTGTGTGCCTCTGTAGCAGCACCAGTTAACCTCATCTGGACCACTCCTCAAGTGTCAACTGAGTGTGTGCCTCTGTAGCAGCACCAGTTAACCTCATCTGGACCACTCCTCAAGTGTCAACTGAGTGTGTGTGCCTCTGTAGCAGCACCAGTTAACCTCATCTGGACCACTCCTCAAGTGTCAACTGAGTGTGTGTGCCTCTGTAGCAGCACCAGTTAACCTCATCTGGACCACTCCTCAAGTGTCAACTGAGTGTGTGCCTCTGTAGCAGCACCAGTTAACCTCATCTGGACCACTCCTCAAGTGTCAACTGAGTGTGTGTGCCTCTGTAGCAGCACCAGTTAACCTCATCTGGACCACTCCTCAAGTGTCAACTGAGTGTGTGTGCCTCTGTAGCAGCACCAGTTAACCTCATCTGGACCACTCCTCAAGTGTCAACTGAGTGTGTGCCTCTGTAGCAGCACCAGTTAACCTCATCTGGACCACTCCTCAAGTGTCAACTGAGTGTGTGTGCCTCTGTAGCAGCACCAGTTAACCTCATCTGGACCACTCCTCAAGTGTCAACTGAGTGTGTGTGCCTCTGTAGCAGCACCAGTTAACCTCATCTGGACCACTCCTCAAGTGTCAACTGAGTGTGTGTGCCTCTGTAGCAGCACCAGTTAACCTCATCTGGACCACTCCTCAAGTGTCAACTGAGTGTGTGCCTCTGTAGCAGCACCAGTTAACCTCATCTGGACCAATTATGCCCATTCCTCTTGAGGCCGCCAACCTTCTCAAAGTGCTCAAAAAAAGTCTCGGACTCTTCTGGCACGAATAGTTGACCAGACCACACACTAGAAGGTGAAGGGACGACGACGTTTCGGTCCGTCCTAGAACATTTAAGTCGATTGTGACGAATAGTGCTATATCCTTTTTCCATACTCCATTGTCCTGCTGGCAATAGCTTCTGGGACCCCAATGTTCTATCCTCTGCTCAGCTATATTTCTATTTGCTTCGATCTCCATCTGCTTATAAAACTATTCCATGGGCTTATAACCCCTCTTGAGGTTATCTTGAGGTTATCTTGAGATGATTTCGGGGCTTTAGTGTCCCCGCGGCCCGGTCCTCGACCAGGCCTCCACCCCCAGGAAGCAGCCCGTGACAGCTGACTAACTCCCAGGTACCTATTTACTGCTACGTAACAGGGGCATAGGGTGAAAGAAACTGCCCATTGTTTCTCGCCGGCGCCTGGGATCGAACCCAGGAGTCCCGCATGCTGTCCGCTCGGCCGACCGGCTCCCTTGATGTTGAAAAGGAATCTCCTGTTCTCACTCCTACATTGTGGGTTGTTGAGCTTGACACCTTTGCTCCTTGTTTGTGTTACATCTGACCTTTTGGAGAGTCTGTCCGGGTCAATATTCCCCAAATTGTTCATTATTTTAAAAGTTTCTACGAGATCAGCCTTATCATGCATGGTTTGTAGTGTTGTTAGCCTTGTGGCCCCATATATCATTCCTGATGCGAGAGTTGACTTAGCTCTGGAATGATTTTTTTTGCCCGGTGTTGCACTTTCTCCAGAGCAGCTGTATCCTTTTGAAGATGAGGTCTCCATGCATGGCTACAATAATCCAAATGGGGATCCTTATAGTGAGATCTACAAGGAACTTTACTTAGGGCCTCATGTTCATTCGCTAGCTTAGCTAACTCACGAATGGTCCTGTACAGAGCTTCACCTGCAGCTAAACTATCATCCGAATTATCGAGGGGTTCGTGTGTCTGCCTGTTCTCTTATGTGTTGCAGCCCTTTTCTTCGGTAGGCAGGAGAGAGAGAGAGAGAGAGAGAGAGAGAGAGTAGGGAGGGTGAGAGAGTAGGGGCAGGGGGGAAGAGAGAGAGAGAGAGAGAGAGGAATGTAGGAGAATACAGGACGGAAATTCCAGACAAAGCTTCGTCATTTACATTCCTTTTAGTCATTCTTACTCTCTTAAATTGCTGCGTTTACACCACTCCACCCATTTCTCCCCCTCCTTGTCCCCATCCCCTGTCCCCCTCCATTCCCCCGTCCCATCTCTAGCCTCCAGCCCTGGAGTCAAGCTCCTCCCCCTTGCAACAGGTGTTGAAGCTCAATATAAGAGATTCAGGACCTCGTACCTACTGTAGACCGGACCGTCTCGACCCGGGCAGCTGCTTGTACCCTCAACACCAACACTGATTCAAGGTAAGATTATTCTTAGCCAGGGAAATATATTTAGGAAAGCCTGGCTTTGGTTTGCATGGCTTTCTTGGGAGCTTTCTTGGTTTGGCTTGCAAGGCTAGCTAGCTATATCTATATATATATATATGACTCACTCTATATATATGAGTCACTTCTGGGGTGTGAGTTTTCAGTCGCATATAGTCCTGGGGATCATTCAGGCTTGTTCGCACCTCTGTATGTGTGTATATATATATATATATATATATGTCGTACCTAGTAGCCAGAACTCACTTCTCAGCCTACTATGCAAGGCCTGATTTGCCTAATAAGCCAAGTTTTCATGAATTAATTGTTTTTCGACGACCTAACCTACCTAACCTAACCTAACCTAACCTATAAAGATAGGTTAGGTTAGGTTAGGTAGGGTTGGTTAGGTTCGGTCATATATCTACTTTAATTTTATCTCCAATAAACAACAATTGACCTCATACATAATGAAATGGGGAGCTTTATCATTTCATAAGAAAAAAATTAGAGAAAATATATTAATTCAGGAAAACTTGGCTTATTAGGCAAATCGGACCTTGCATAGTAGGCTGAGAAGTGAGTTCTGGCTACTAGGTACGACATATATATATATATATATATATATATATATATATATATATATATATATATATATATATATATATATATATATATATATATATATATATATATATATAATGTATTCACCTAGCAGTAAATAAGTACCTTAGAGTTAGGCAACTGTATCTCTGAGAAGATCATTTGTTGGCCTGGGCTGACTCCAGTAAGCCTGACGCCTGACGGCTTCCAGTCCCCGAGAAAGGAAAACTATATAAGTAATTTATCAAATATTCTACATCGCTGAGCACAATATTGAAAATAATAATAAAAATACAAGCAGGCCAAGTTCTATTCTTCGTTGTGTAAGTTCTTTGATTCATGACTCGAGTTTAGAATATTTTGTTGCGTCTTAAAATGAAATTCGTTTAATTATTGATTGATTGATAAAGATTAAGCCACCCAAGAGGCGGCACGGGCATGAATAGCCCGTAATTTAATTGACAAAAATGTGTTGGTTTCAGATGCGGTTTTCAAGTGTGGTGTTGCCGGCCTTGTTAGTCGTGGCGATGATGTCTGCCAGCGATGGTTACTTGTGTCTTGGGACCTTCGCCCTTGGCGGCCTGTCAGTCGCTGAAGGCGCCGCCTTCTACCACTTCTGGGGCAACAGTGACCCCATCATCTCCACCAAGAGGAAGTATCGCGGCCCGCACCAACGTCGCAACAGACGTCGCCATGGCCGGGCCATCCACAACGTCTATAAAGAAAGAAAGAACTCGTTATCTTCTGTGGATAACCATGACAGTTGTATTCTGAAGATGCTGTGTCATCTTCAGACGAGCGTGGGCGTTGGCCGATCCCAGGAGAGCGCCCTGGTTAATTGGCTTGCCAGCACCACCGAGATATACAGTACCGCCATTATGCCTGGCATGGATATTGGCGCCAAAACCCAGAGCGCCATCGACTGCGACACGCTCTCTAAGTGTTCTCTGAGCGAGGCCCAGGTGAGCGGCCTCTTACAGGAGGTCCTGGAGCGTCGCTGATCTTAACCCCCGCCAGCAGCAATACTTGTAGTGACTATAGTAGGTTAGACATGACACACACAGCTATAGAGAGCACTGATCAGTATTAACGACCTGTAATCTCAACTTTCAAGCACTTCCTCGTCCCCTGCTGTCTACTGGAACCGCTCAAGCACCACCTCGTCCCCTGCTGTCTACTGGAACAGCTCAAGCACCACCTCGTCCCCTGCTGTCTACTGGAACCGCTCAAGCAGCACCTCGTCCCCTGCTGTCTACTGGAACCGCTCAAGCACTTCCTCGTTCCCTGCTGTCTACTGGAACCGCTCAAGCACCACCTCGTCCCCTGCTGTCCACTGGAACCGCTCAAGCAGCACCTCGTCCCCTGCTGTCTACTGGAACCGCTCAAGCACTTCCTCGTCCCCTGCTGTCTACTGGAACCGCTCAAGCACCACCTCGTTCCCTGCTGCCCACTGGAACCGCTCAAGCACCACCTCGTTCCCTGCTGCCCACTGGAACCGCTCAAGCACCACCTCGTTCCCTGCTGTCCACTGGAACCGCTCAAGCAGCACCTCGTTCCCTGCTGTCCACTGGAACCGCTCAAGTATGTTCTCAAGCGCCTGCTCAACATTTATTTGAATCATTTAATTTAAACTGTTAATTTTTGTGTTTTTTACATTTATAATAAATGTTGAAATTGTCTCAACTTTATATTTCATTCATGTGTATAATTGGTTAATTTACATATATAATTAATTTTGTTCGGGACAGGCAGCCTGTGTGTGTCTGCGTGTCAATGTTGGAGACCTGAGGCTTGTGGCTAACCTCGTGGCGTAAATTTGCATGGGGAGAAACATTTGGGCAGAGTTTCTTTCACCCTGATGTCCCCTGTTACCTAGCAGTAAATAGGTACCTGGGTGTTAGTCAGCTGTCACGGGCTGCTTCCTGGGGGTGGAGGCCTGGTCGAGGACCGGGCCGTGGGGACACTAAAGCCCCGAAATCATCTCAAGATAACCTCAAGATAACCCACAACCCACGAAAATGGTGTAAAGTGGCTAGCTGAGTCCCTAGATTTCTTGACTAGGGCCATTCAGCTTCTCCAAGGTTGAAGTCAATATTGACTTATTAAATAAGTGCATATGTGACATACTAATTTATTGAGAATATTTTAGTTTACCTTGAAAAGCTATATAGAAAACACCGACCTTACCTAACCTTCTTAGTATGTTAAGATAAGCATCTTATTGCTTCGTAATTACAATTATTTCTTAACCTATTATAGGTATAGGTTAAGTAATAATTGTAATTACGAAGCAATAAGATGCTTATCTTAACATACTAAGAAGGTTAGGTAAGGTCGGTGTTTTCTATAAAGCTTTTCAAGGTAAACTAAAATATTCACAATAAATTAGTATGTCACATATGCACTTATTTAATAAGTCAATATTGACTATACGAAATTGCGAGAACGGGTTGCTCCAAGAGGCTAGTCTTCTTGAGGTGGGTGTCTTAACACCTAGAGAGACACTATGTATCATGTCCCATAATCCAGGGATGCACGTGTCTGAATATGTTGATAAACAAAGCCCTCTCGGTTCGAGCCTCACGAGAGACATCTCCCGTCACGCAGGGTGCAGTCGCACCTCCACAGATCTCCAGTATCAGTTCTTGATACTGGTAATGGCTCAAAAGGGCCACCTCTTACGGGCTATTCATGCCCGTGCCACCTTTTGGGTGGCTTAATCTTCATCAATCGGTTGATCGCTAGATTTTACACATGGAGGATCTGTTTGACTGTTCTGGGATGCAGGGAGGGAGAGAAGATTGATTGATTAAGCCTCCCAAGAGGTGGCACGGGCATGAATAGCCCGTAAAGAGAGAACAGACGAAGATAGATTGATACAGAGATACCAATAGTCTCTCTCTAATAATTTATCATGTCTGCTTTTATAACTATTCAGAGTTTGTCTCCTTTACTGCCCCAGTTCTTCTCATGTGTTTAACTTATGTTATTATGAATCATTTCTGTTGTTTTTAATGTTTTCTTGATGAACAGACTTCTGGCATAGTCCCCCCTCGATGCACTTGTCCGAACCGCTGCGCGTATTAGTGGCTAGTGGCTTAGTATATAATACTCTTATCTAGAAATCTAACTTGCTGTTTATAACTCATTTTATATGTAATTTTTACCTCAATAAACATTATTATTATTATTATAGTTACAACACTCGGCGAGGTATGTGTGGGTTACTCATTAGGATAATTATAAGGTATTGCAAGTCCATGATGCAACTTTAGCTTTCGGAGCAGCAACTGGCTGAGAGGCGAGGCTGTGTTCGCCAGTAATTGTGGACGCTGATGGCGTTCGCTTCCTGGAATGTTTGGTGTAGCGATGAGCGAGGTCCGTTGTGTGGTGTTTGGGATTCTTGTGTGTACCTTCTGTGTACCCTAGTCTTGTGTGTGTGTGTGTGTGTGTGTGTGTGTGTGTGTGTGTGTGTGTGTGTGTGTGTGTGTGTGTGTGTGTGTGTGTGTGTGTACCCTGGTCTTGTGTGTGTGTGTGTGTGTACCCTGGTCTTGTGTGTGTGTGTGTGTACCCTGGTCTTTGTGTGTGTGTGTGTGTGTGTGTGTGTACCCTGGTCTTGTGTGTGTGTGTGTGTGTGTGTGTACCCTGGTCTTGTGTGTGTGTGTGTGTGTGTACCCTGGTCTTGTGTGTGTGTGTGTGTGTGTGTACCCTGGTCTTGTGTGTGTGTGTGTGTGTGTGTGTGTGTGTGTGTACCCTGGTCTTGTACTCTCCTAGTTGTGTTTGCGGGGGTTGAGCTTTGGCTCTTTGGTCCCGCCTCTCAACCGTCAATCAACTGGTGTACAGGTTCCTGAGCCTATTGAGCTCTATCATATCTACACTTGAAACTGTGTATGGAGTCAGCCTCCACCACATCACTGCCTAATGCATTCCATCCGTTAACTACTCTGACACTGAAAAAATTCCTTCTAACGTCTCTGTGGGTCATGTGGGTACTCAGTTTCCACCTGTGTAGGTTGTGATCATGTCTCCCCTTACTCTTCTGTCTTCCAGTGTCGTAAGGTGCATTTCCCGCAGCCTTTCCTCGTAACTCATGCCTCTTAGTTCTGGACTAGTCTAGTGCATACTCCAGGATTGGTCTTACATATGTGGTGTACAAGATTCTGAATGATTCCTTACACAGGTTCCTGAACGCCGTTCTGATGTTAGCCAGCCTCGCATATGCTGCAGACGTTATTCTTTTTATGTGGGCTTCAGGAGACAGGTTTGGTGTGATATCAACTCCTAGATCTTTCTCTCTGTCCGTTTCATTAAGTACTTCATCTCCTATTCTGTATCCTGTGTCTGGCCTCCTGTTTCCACTGCCTAGTTTCATTACTTTGCATTTACTCGGGTTGAACTTCAACAGCCATTTGTTGGACCATTCACTCAGTCTGTCTAGGTCATCTTGTAGCCTCCTACTATCATCCTCTGTTTCAATCCTCCTCATAATGTTTGCATCATCGGCAAACATTGAGTGAAACGATTCTATACCCTCTGGGAGATCATTTACATATATCAGAAACAGTATAGGTCCAAGGACTGACCCCTGCGGGACTCCACTCGTAACGTCTCGCCAATCTGAGACCTCACCCCTCACACAGACTCGTTGTCTCCTGTTGCTTAGGTACTCCTGTATCCAACGGAGTACCTTCCCTTTCACTCCAGCCTGCATCTCCAGCTTTTTCACTAGCCTCTTGTGTGGCACTGTGTCAAAGGCTTTCTGACAATCCAAAAATATGCAGTCTGCAGTCTATGTGTGTGTGTGTGTGTGTGTGTGTGTACCCTGGACTTGTATGTGTGTGTGTGTGTACCCTGGTCTTGTGTGTGTGTGTACCCTGGTCTTGTGTGTGTGTACCTATATGTACCCTGGTCTTGTGTGTGTGTACCTATATGTACCCTGTTGTACCTATATGTACCCTATTATTGCTAGTTCCCTATTCCCTGTAGACACCCCCTGTCTATCTGTCCCTATGAAGTACACTCCTCCTCCTCTTCGCCACGACGACATTAAGTCATAGCTTCAGCCATGTTGATGTCAACATCACGTAGACATTTTCCATTGTAGTCACGTGGGGTCTTCGGATTGAAAAGCTGTCGGCGTTCTATGGCTGGGTTCAGGAGTCCCGCTGTGTGCCCGTCTCTACAGGGCTGGAGTTCATTGGGCACTAACACGGCGTCATTCTCTAGGTATTCAGGCCTGTCATGGCAACAGCAGGCGCCCTGTGACGCAGTTGACATGCATATCCAAGAGTCACGAAGCAGTTACGCAAGCACTTTACGAACGTGTTCATCTTTCCTCAATCTTTGACGGGTTTGGTTGTGTTTATTAAATTGTTTACAAGGATGGAAGCTTGCCAATCAACTGTTGTTATTACACATAGAGATCACAATAACGTGATGCATCAAACGAACAAATCCACAAGGGACGCAGGTTCGAATCCTCGGCACGGCCCTTGTGGATTTGTTCAACTGTTGTTATTGTTATAAACAGCCTCCTGGTGCTTCGGAGCTCATTAACTGTTTAATAATTGTAAACAAAGCCGCCAAAGATTGAGAAAAGATGGACAGGTTCGTAATTGGTTGCGTAACTGCTTCGTGAATCTGGCCCCCAGGTTCGTAAGTGCTTGCGTAACTGCTTCGTGAATCTGGCCCCCAGGTTCGTAAGTGCTTGCGTAACTGCTTCGTGAATCTGGCCCCAGGTTCGTAAGTGCTTGCGCAACTGCTTCGTGAATCTGGCCCCAGGTTCGTAAATACTTGAGTAACTGCTTCGTGAATCTGGCCCCAGGTTCGTAAATACTTGCGTAACTGCTTCGTGAATCTGGCCCCAGGTTCATAAATACTTGCGTAACTGCTTCGTGAATCTGGCCCTCAGGTTCGTAAGTACTTGCGTAACTGCTTCGGGAATCTGGCCCCCAGGTTCGTAAGTGTTTGCGTAACTGCTTCGTGAATCTGGCCCCAGGTTCGTAAGTGCTTGCGTAACTGCTTCGTGAATCTGGCCCCCAGGTTCGTAAGTGCTTGCGTAACTGCTTCGTGAATCTGGCCCCAGGTTCGTAAATGCTTGCGTAACTGCTTCGGGAATCTGGCCCCCAGGTTCGTAAATGCTTGCGTAACTGCTTCGGGAATCTGGCCCCCAGGTTCGTAAGTGCTTGCGTAACTGCTTCGGGAATCTGGCCCCCAGGTTCGTAAGTGTTTGCGTAACTGCTTCGTGAATCTGGCCCCAGGTTCGTAAGTGCTTGCGTAACTGCTTCGTGAATCTGGCCCCAGGTTCGTAAGTGCTTGCGTAACTGCTTCGTGAATCTGGCCCCAGGTTCGTAAGTGCTTGCGTAACTGCTTCGTGAATCTGGCCCAGCTGGGCCTTACAAATTACGTCGTGTTTCGCTCCTATGCTTTACGGCCAAAAATCGCCGTATTAGAATTTTCAAACAAAAAATGAAAATTAATTTTTCTAACTGAAATGGACCCAAGGCAGCAAATTTTGGGTCGTCTGGTTAGTTAGAAGAGCTACAAGTTCTCCTAAGATTTGAAAACGTCTTGAAAACCCTTAACCTAACCTGGGGTTCACTGGGGCCTGACGGCTGAGTGAACAGCGCTCGGGCTTCGTAGTCATAACGTTCCGGGTTCAATCCTCGGTGGAGGTGGA